CCAACATTTACGTCACATATTCTGAAGTAATGCCAATTTGGCATATCAGTTAGATTTGAACTTTTTGATATGCCAAAAGAGTTGTGAAGTTTGAATATCATGCTGCCTGTGGTAACACATAAAAGATTCTAGTATTGTGATATCAAAGTGTTAGTCAGGCTTTGCAGGTTGATTTATGAATGCACTGTGGAAGAAGGGGTTAGTAAGAGGAGGTAACACTGTACTCCATGTGGACAATGCCCCTGCCCAAATATCTCAAACTGTGCAGGATACAATATCCCTGGCCCATGCAGCCTTTAGTCCAGATCTGGCCATATATGACTTATTTATTTCTATCCTACTTATTTCTGGAGAGAAATGATGCAGGTTTAATGACAATGATGAAATAAAACCAGCTGTGTAACTGCAGCTTACTACCATGTCAGAGAATGGATTCGGTCTGGTCTTTCAATCTTGGGTTAATGATGGAGGATTTTGTAATGAGGAGTGTGTAGCACTAAATGGAGTCTATGTATAGGACCCTGTAAGATGAAGGTGGCAAGAACGCCACAAAGTGATGACAAAATATTGGTGTAAAAATGGTGTAATTCATAACCATAATGGTTAGTTTTGTTCAACTTGCATTAAACTCCATTCCACGTTAAATGAGCTATATAGCTTCAGAATCACTGGTGAAAAAATTAAAGAAATTGGTTTATAAATCTATGTAAAAAGCGTCTATTACTTATTGATCACCCCTCGTACACATGGATAGCAGAATTCATGGAATCTAAAAAATATAGATTATCGTAGATTTGCCCCTACACAAGGTATTAAATATAGACAGGGTATGCTGAAATAAGTCCACGGATTGTACCCATTGAAGCGCAAGCGTTTCATTCTAAATGATTCATCCCTACTACCCGTAGTTACACGTTTTTGAATGGATTGAACAATCCAATAATAGTTCTCCAGGGGCTGTGAATTTATAACAATTCGAGAATTATCCAGATAAATTTTATCTTCTGGGATAAATTTTGGATTTTTGATCAAGATAAATATTTGGTGAATTGGTAGATTTATCCAGATGACCAAATTACATTGGAATTGGGATAAATTTTATCCGAAAATTAATCCGCCTATGTAGGTGGATTGAAATTAGGATAACATTTATCCAAAAGAAGATTGTACGATTTCACCATTATAAGGATACATTCCAAGATAAATAATCCCACAATATATCATTACGATGACGAAATTTATCCGGATCAATCATAGGATCGTACCAATACACGGCCCCAGTATCCCGAATGTGTTATCAAACTTAACGATGGAAACATTCATCTGTATGCTGCTATTTCCAAGCTCAGTGGATGTTAAATATCTACCAGAGCTTGGGAATAGCAGCATACAGATGGATGTTTCTAACTGAATTTACTTTGGTATTATTGGTGCAAAAATGAACTGATAGTATAGCAAAACAGCACCACGCGGTATTGATTTACCTTTTCCTAAGTTATTGTCGTACTGATGGACAGATGGTATTGATATATCCTCCTAATAATAAAAATTGTTCGTTTCGATTGCGATTAAATATATTTTCTGTAGTTCCAGATTGTGGGTCACTGGGCTTAGTGGACCTGGGTGTAACTGGCTCCTGCTACTACATTGAGGCAATAGATAGGAACGTTATGGATGGATTGAATATATGTCAGTCACATTCCCCACCCATGAGCTTAGTATCCATAGACGATGCAGATGAACAAAACAAGATAAGGGCACACCTTGCCGGTCTCAACTCACGTATGCGTTTATTGTCTTACATTTTCATTAAAATGGCAGCCGTTTTTCAGTGCCCTACCGAGTAAATTTATTTTTAGATTCATCCATTGCTGAAATCTTTTTTCGGGACACCGGCCCGATATATAAGGGTTATGTACTGGGAGGTTTTGGTTATGGGGTTTATCCAGAGGGAGATATGCATATCTACCTGAGGGACAGTAGGGACCGAAGGTAGATGTGCATATTTCACGAGGGATGAACCCAATATCCAAACCGACCGTACATAACTGCTTTATCTGTAATATATATAATATATAATATATTATAATATAATATATTATAGTAGCCTCATAGTCATGCCTCTCTATTTTCTCAATAACTTTCTCAATTTTGATGATTTTTTCATGAAATTTTCACAGAATAAACCTTAAAGAATTCCTAACATACCAATCTTTTTATACGGTAAATGTCCCATTAATTTCATTGTTACAACCCTTTGAAAAATAATGTCATATTCTGTTGATGGGTCAATTTTGTCGCCATTTGAAAGCATCTTTTATCTCCATCAAGTATGACAATAGGCGAGTAGAAATTTAATGCCTTTTATGGGACGAGCAGTATAGAGGCTTGAGATCACGAGGTCTTGAAATAGTATGGTGGATTTAGAACACTAAAAAAGATAAATGATCCCCTATCAAAGACTGCAATCAAATTTGTAGACCATATTAGGACAAAACGTAATTTAGATTGTTCGTATCTTTTTAGAAAAAAAGACGACAAAAATGACCCATCAACAGAATATGACATTATTTTTTAAAAGGTTGTAACAATCAAATAATGAGGCATTTACCATATAAAAAAATTTATATGTTAGGAATTTTTTAAAGTTTATTCCTTGAAAATTTTATCAAAAAATATTCAAAATTGAGAAAGTTATTGAGAAAATAGAGAGGCATGACTTGTTCTGGCCAGGCTGCTATATAATATTTGATGGGATAATAACGATATTTGAACAAGTGATTTCGCATGTCAATCATTGGATTGAAACCAAACTAAATTGAGTATAAGACCAGAAATCTCAAAGATTCCTAGCCATCTTTATGTCCATGCTCTATTAATTTGTGCAACTTTCTCATCATATTGTTAACATCATTCCAGCTTCTTGGTGGAACATTGGTCTGAATGATTTAGCAGTACAGGGTCAGTATGTCTGGTTTGCTACTGGAGCAGCTCCATCTTGGACCAACTGGCGTTTTGGTCAACCAAATACGATTTCAGACCATTGTGTTATTATGAGTAACGATAATGGAGAGTGGTATGACCATGATTGTAATGTCTCCCTCGGCCAATTTACAATTTGCGAATATAAACAATGAATATTTTAATAAAGAGAAATCGAATATCATATTGTTGAGGTAACCTGAAATGGAACTGATCATACAGTGTATATGTAAATATGTTCTCCCCTTAGCTTTCATATAAAGACATGATATCCCGCATGTTATATACCAAATTAACCCTCATTGAGATGTTAGAGCACCTACCAAATTTGAATAATGAACGAAACAGAATAAAAAGTTACACTTGAAGCAAAAATTGAAGGTTTGCGATATAATCTTATGGATATTGGAACACTGTGCCATGGGCCATGCAGCCGAAGGTAAGCCATACAACAGAATTTTGCCGATTCAATCTGACGGAGAATGCCGAGCCTCTCCATGGCAACCACTACCACCACATCCCCTGACGTACATGTAGTAGCCTGAAAACTGAAATGAGCGGTGTATTCTCAATGATCAGAACCAAATAACGAACATGCATGTAAATGCTCCAAGTTTCATCAAAGAGGTTTAGATTTAAAAAAATATACATAATAGAACTATTTTAAAATGCATGGCAAACAGATGTGTGAAAAAGTAGAATTTTGATAAAAAGCAAGAAAATAGAAATAACCAAGCAGGATTAAAAAAAGCTAAACATACGTATAATTTACCAGGGCCTTGCTTACCCATACTGCCAATTGGTAACTTGGCTCTACTCCACTACACTCTATGGCAATATCAGCCTGTTGTCCCATTGCTTCTATAACTCTATCAGCAAGTACTTGGCCGGTTTCATCAACCTTGGCAAGTACAGTAAAGTCAGCGCCCATCTCTTTTGCCTGCTGTAGTCTTCTCTCAGATAGATATAACAATTAGACATCATGATAAACCATGAGATCTCATTTCTTCTCAGCCCTGAGGTTTCAGGTGAAAAAGAAAGATGCTATGAGTATCAGAATGACAATTAGTATGAAAATATATTTTTATTTTCTTATAAGCATTGGCACACACAACCTTCCAACTATGTTCTTAATATTCTGATGATATTATTTTACTCCACAATATTGCCTAAACACCATGCATTGGTCAGAGTTATTTTTATTATTATGAAAAAATAAAATAAAATAAGACGTACTTGTTTGAAATAACAAATATTTGAATCGGCATTTAGACTATCCACTATCCAGGATAATTATCGAAACCTTGGTTTATACATCAGAAGTTTTAATGGAAAAGCGATCAATTCGAGTGGAGGACGTTCGCGCCGGTTTTTCAATAACTTCGTATTGGATTGGATCATAATAGGCTTCTGACAGAATCACGATTGACATTGTCATTGCATGTGCTGGTTTATTTTTCCTGCGAAAAAGTAGCCCTTGAGTTGAAAATAAACTGTGTGAAAATCCTGAAATTCTTGACATCCCGTGATAATACAGATCAATATAATAACTCAATGGAAAAAACTCCTCGAGAAAAACAAAAATCTATTAGATCGACTTTTCTTTGTGAACCTTTTTAGGAGTTTTAGAAAAAGGCGCATGGCAAGAAATGATTATGATATTCTCCAAAAAAACAATGAAACAATTTTCAATTGTTTTTGTATGTCTGATTACCCCTTTCAATCACTTAAGGTAATTGGTCATTGTAAATAACAAGACAATGACCCGCGTATCAGCTCAGTCTGACTTTGGATTCGCAATAATCGAGTGACTGACAAAATTCACTTTTGACAGGAGAGTTATAGAAAAATATATTTTATTTCTATGAACAGTACACATCTTTACGGAGAAAATATATTAATAAACATTAAATCTTGTTACAAAAAGTTATAAAAGAAAAAATAAGGTAACAAAGTAACATGTGTTCTGTTGCAAGAATCTGTTTTGCTGTTCTATTTTCTGTTTGTTTCTGTGACAACATAGATCAAGTATATTATGAAAGAAACCCGGGTCAAATCTATCACCATGATGGCAATGGAGTGGGCCTGATTGCGAGTATATCAAAAAATTCGAAAATGCGATGCTTAGCGGAATGTGCAAATGAACCACAATGTTTCAACGTTAACTTCAAAAAAGGTGTATTGTGTGAGATGTATGGGTTGGCAGATGCCGGGTGGTACGAACATCATGATACATTTGACTCTTATTTTGCAAAAAGCAAGCCAATAGTCTCAAAAACTACAATACAGCTACCAACAACGACTACTACTACTACTACTACAACGCAGTCTCCAACTTCTGCCACAGGTAATACTCCACTTAAACTAAGGCCTACGGTGTAATGTTTTATATTAATATACACGTTATAAGTTATACCGTTGTGATAAATGGGCGTAGCCAAGCATGAGGTAGGCGGATAAGTGTCTTACTTAAATTTTACAGACCTAGAAACATAAGGTAATATCACGCCTAACCATTGACAACGTACAGTGACAAAATATACCGTCGCACACTTTAGGTGAACGGTGTCACTATTAACTGATTTGAAGCGAAAACTGATGTAGGTTTGATGAAGGTTTTCAAAAATTAATTTGAGGAATACATAAAGGAGTTCATGTTTGATTTCGTGTGTATTCGATTTGGAAGACATTTACATTTCTAATTACGTTAGACGATTTTCGAGCAGTGCACATTTCCTTTGATCGTTTTCTCCCCTGTCGCCCAAGAGTGCCGAATATTTTTATGAGAAAATGTTTCTCTAAACTACACAATTTAAGACGGTTGAAGGCTTAATAAATATTCATGAATTTGGTATCAAAAAAGAAAAATGTACGTTGTCATCTTCAATGTACGTTGTCCTGTTAATTGAAATGCATGAGATATGAGATACTATACTGAGGAATAAGTGATGTTCAACAAACATATTCATGTATCCCTGGTACAGATAAACGGGTAAAAGTGATTTTTACCCCTTGTTGAATGCTATTTTATTTTATGAAAGTGTTGATAGCGATTAATATTTGACCATGGGGTGTTATCTTCCAACTTCTTTCACTTGACTATTCGGCGTCGGTACGTTACGTTATGTTATACTTTTATGAATTTTAATAATCTTAAGGAGTTCATGGAGAGATCTTTACTAGCTAATCGAAGATGACTTTCAAAATCCAGTTTACGCTATATCTGGAAAGTGCTGAAGTTCTAAGGTTTTAGGTTAAATAAAGTTGAAGTAATACTGTTATTGTTCAGTTTCAATTTGAAATGATGAATGATTTAATTAGTATTTTCTGTAACACTTATGTGCTAGTTTTGTTTTGGCGTATGCTTTCAAGTTTTTTTTCATTAACAAGATACTTTTTGAAAATCAACCAAACTTTCCTTTGTACAATTACAATAAATTATAATGTTACCATCCAAAAGATGACCATTGAATTGACGATGTGTAAAATTTTCAGAATGTTTTAGTGACTTGTTTAACCCTTAAATGGTTTTTTGGTTCTTTGCAATAATTATATTAGAAATAACCATTCTATCAACATGAAATTCCATCTAATTCTCAATTAATACAATTCCTTTCAGATTTAACAAATTAGATATAAATCGCATTATGACTTTTTGTGCTACCTGAGGCCAAAGAACATCACTATCACTGAAACATATTCAATTAATACAGTGTTATATATATATGCTACGAAATGTTACAAAATGCTAAAACACCTGACCCCTTATGGTTAGGTTTACACATATTTCCATGCATTCATGATAAATAATGCATACATATTCTGAAGGGTAATAGATTAACATATGTAAAACTGAAGTCAGAATGAAAAAAGCTTCTCTGGTTGCAAAGTAATTGCAAAATATATATTGGGTTACAAACGGACCCCAAAAACCTTTAGTAAAAACAAAACAAAAAACATTTGAGGGATAAGAGAAACGCGTGTTCAAAAAGTTGACCATATCGATACCACTCTTTTATTTGCATAGAATTCAAGTACAAATTAATAACAATATAAGTAAATCTTCACAGAGTGTTTACCAAATTAAGCGTGACAGTTGAACGAGCGGGGTAAGGTACAACGCAAGGGTGATGCAAATTGAGCTAACTGCATGGTGTTTTCGTCTGTACTTTAACGTAATAAGATACACTTTTATGAAATTTAATAATCTTAAGAAGTTGACAGAGAGATTTGTACTAGCTAGTCGAAGATGACTTTTTAAAATCCCGTTTATGCTATATCTGGAAAGTGCGGAGGTTCAATATAGTTCAATCAAATTGAATTAGTAATACTGTGATTGTTCTGTTTCAGTTTTAAATGAATCTGATCCCCCTGCCCCTTAGTGTTATGAAAAATACGTTGTCTACATTAGGGTTAACTGTGAATTCAGATATGTAAGTTCAATGGAACAACGTACATCGAAATGACAACGTACACTTATGATTTTTTAAAAACTATTTTAGCAAAAACGTGAATTTATATTAAATCTTCAATCGACCTCAATTATGTAACTTAGGGAAACATATTCTCATAAAAATAATAAACACTCTTAGGCGACATGGGAAAAGCTGACCAAAGTAAATGTGAAAAAATCAACATTTTTCAACCGATCATTGCTGGTGGGTAGATTTACGACGAAAAACTCGAGCACTGCTCGAGAATCTTTTAATGTAATTAGAAAGGTTAATGTCTTCCAAATCGAATACACACGAAATTAAACATGAAATCCTTAAAGTTTTCCTCAGATTAATTTTTAAAGCCTAAATCACACCCACATTATAGCTTTTGCTTCATATCAGTTAGAATAGTGACACCGTACATCTAAAGTGTACGACTGCGTGTTTTGTCACTGTACGTTGTCGATGGTTAGGCGTGAATATACCTCATTTAGTCTAAAAGCCTCGCCTCTTCATTCTTGCCTTACCTAAGAATGATCCTAGCCACGCCCCTGTGCAATATCAACATTGGTGCAATTGCAAACAAGTGAGGATTATTGCGTATATCTAATTTTTATGTGTTTATTTGGATTATGCGTTCTGAGAAGAATTGGGCTTCGAGTGCGAAATTCCATTCAATTGAAAAGGGAGTTATAATGATATATCATTCAGAATAAAATAAAATTGACTTTTTCTTTTGGAATCGGAAAAAAATTAAGCAAGGAAATCTCGAATGGGATTGAACAAGATAAAGGAATGATGCTTTCGTCATATTAGAATCATAATAAAAACCAGCATTTTTTATTTATGGCATTTATGAAGAGATTTCTTTTTGTGAATATACAGAATAAAATGTTTGGTCGTACACAATAAAATATATAAACCACCTTTATTAACCCATCTTTATTCCTAAAGTGCATACATAATGAATATATAAGCGCAAATGCCAAAGGGAAGGGTAAATCTGTCATAAGAAAAGTAGACCCTATATATCCCAAAACCATGATCTAACGTGAAAAGAAACAAAGTCTAACATCCCCCCCTCCAATCGAGAACCAATATCACAATCCAGGACCAGAACACCAAGGGACATTTCATTCATACTGAAGTCATTACAATACATGTTGAAGAAAAATTGAAAAATTGATAGCCAATACCCATAACATCAGTAGTTGTAGATACTAGAACTCATAAAATATAAAGTATTCAGTCTCAAATGATGTGGGATAGATAAGATCCAGTCTCGAAGTCCATAGGCAATTCAAAGAATCATAATCCGTTCGCAAAGCCGTCATCATAATCCATAAAATACAAAGAGAGACCAACTTCTACAATAAGTCTGAGTTTTCCCTCTACAAAATTTGTGAATCTACAAGTTATTATTTATTTTCTGTTCCAAATTCTGTCAAATAATTGACAACCTATCAAAGACAGTCACATGTGGTATAAACTTGTTTTCTTAAAAAGACATTAAAACGCCATATACAAGGTATTAAATATAGACAGGGTATGCTGAAATAAGTCCACGGATTGTACCCAATGATTCATCCCGTAGTTACACGTTTTTGAATGGATTGAATAATCCAAATAATAGTTCTCCAGGGGCCGTGAATTTATAACAATTCGAGAATTTATCCGGATAAATTTTATCTTCAAGGATAAATTTTGGATTTTCGATCCAGATAAATATTTGATGAATTGGTAGATTTGTCCAAATGACCAAATTACATTGAAATTTGGATCAAGTTTATCCGAAAATTAATCCACCTATGTAGGTGGATTGAAATTAGGATAGCGTTTATCCAAAAGGTTCAGCATGCAGATGGATGTTTCTAACTGAATTTACTTTCAATTGGTATTGTTGGTGTAAAAATGAACTGATAGCAAAACAGCACCACGCGGTATTGATTTACCCTTTCCTAAGTTATTGTCGTACTGATGGACAGATGGTATTGATATATCCTCCTAATAATAAAAATTGTTCGTTTCGATTGCGATTAAATATATTTTTCTGTAGTTCCAGATTGTGGGTCACTGGGCTTAGTGGACCTGGGTGTAGCTGGCTCCTGCTACTATATTGAGGCAATAGATAGGAACGTTATGGATGGATTGAATATATGTCAGTCACATTCCCCACCCATGAGCTTAGTATCCATAGACGATGCAGATGAACAAAACAAGATAAGAGCACACCTTGCCGGTCTCAACTCACGTATGCGTTTATTGTCTTACATTTTCATTAAAATGGCAGCACTACCGAGTAAATTTATTTTTAGATTCATCCATTGCTGAAAACTTTTTTCGGGACACCGACCCGATATATTATGTAATATTTTATATATGTAATATTTGATGGGATAATAACGATATCTGAACAAGTGATTTCGCATGTCAATCATTGGATTGAAACTAAACTAAATTGAATAAGACCAGAAATCTCAAAGATTCCCAGCCATCTTAATGTCCATGCTCTATTAATTTGTGCAACTTTCTCATCATATTGTTTAACACCATTCCAGCTTCTTGGTGGAACATTGGTCTGAATGATTTTGCAGTGCAGGGTCAGTATGTCTGGTTTGCTACTGGAGCAGCACCATCTTGGACCAACTGGCATTATGGTCAACCAAATGCGATTTCAGACAATTGTGTTATTATGAGCAACGAGAATGGAGAGTGGTATGACGTTGATTGTAATTTCTCTTATGGGACACTCGGCCAATTTACAATTTGCGAATATAAATAATGAATGAATGAAAACAACAAAGAGAAATCGAATAAATACTATTATATTGCTGAAGTAACCTGAAATGGAACTGACCATACAGTGTATATGTAAATATGTTCTCCCCTTAGCTTTCATATAAAGACATGATATCCCGCATGGTATAATACTAAATTAACCCTCATTGACGTGTTGGAGCACCTACCAAATTTGAATAATGAACGAAACAGAATAAAAAAGTTACACTCGAAGCAAAAAATTGAAGGTTTGCGATATAATCTTATGGATATGGGTACATTTTGCAACAGTTATGGTCAAATAAAATTTCACTTGAACCAAATTTAGAGTTCAATATATAGTCACTTGTAATTCCACTCATGATTCATGACGATTCAAATAGATATACTGGCAGGATCCAATGGGAAACTATACTTACTGGGACAATCTTTACCATTTAAAATGGATCACAAATGAAATAGTAAAGATGGCATTGTTTGTCCAAAATTGATGAAAACGGAATATTAGAGGACTGGATTACAGTTACAGTCAAATCCTGGGCGCCATGTATTTTAACATCATAATCACAGCTGAGTATTAAATTAAATTGCAGTGGAAGGAAGTTAATTTTTTCAAAAAAAGTATCTGTAATTAAGATCAGAACAAAAGAGAATGGTGTCTTGGTAGTTTGTGCATTTTTGCAAGCATGCATGAAATCTTTTGACACAACTGTTGTTAAAATCATCAAATGATCACTTTTTGGCAATGACGAATGCCGCTCAAATAGCCCCAACCTCAGTGGACCCAAGCATATATGGGGGCTTTCCCAAAAGATCAGGTGGATGTCCTCCTGGAAAGAGAATCTGGTGGAACTCATTATTCCAAAGAAACCCTCCTGAGATGAAGTCCCTTTGACGCTTTACAAATGCAAAAGAACTGTTGGGAATTATTCTTGAAACATTGCATGAAATGTCGTCATAAATGTGGCAGATGATGGGTCCATTGACTAATAAAGAATTGATTTGGGCATGAAAGATATGGGCATGAAACTTGCCATTCTCTCTAACAACTGAATACTCAACTGAAAAAAATGTGTAAACTTGTACAAAACTTCATACTTTGAAATTAGGGGGAACACATATTTATTTGAAACCCTGTATATACACAAACGGACATTGAACATTTGTCGAATCAAGGAATTTTGACAATTTTTAATTGAACTAACAGGTAGAATAAAGTCATCATCCACCTCGGGACTGTATTGTATTGCATTGTAGTTGTATTGTATTGTATTGTACTATAATATTCAGAGGGCTAAGAAAATGTTGTATATCCTATTTTGTTCCAACAAGGTTCGGAAAAATATTTAATTTCACTCTCAAGAATTGGTAGAAAGGAACAAAAAACAATAATGATACGTTTTAATATACTAACATAAATGCAAAAATAACCAAAAGATAATTTAGTAGAATATCATCTATTTCAATCTCAAGTATATGTTCACTTATCACAAATATAACTGGGTTTTGAGAGTATCGCCCAGAACTTCGTTATATACTGCCGCCCATTTGTATTATTCCTTTCAGGTAATAAGAATAAAGATTGCACGGGTAAATTGGAACGTTTTTTGAATGATTGCTCAACATTACACTCTCTTGCTACCACCACCACTATGGTTATGCTAGGCTAACTTGAGTTGTAATTTACATTATCTTTTTAAGGAAAGTGTCCCTGAATATTATCGAGCATGGCTTATTCCTGAATTTTGATCATCACTTTAACAGCTCCTGTATTTCTATCTCTGGCACAGTCAAATGCTTTCAGGGTGTCATCAAATGAGAACCTGTGAGTTATAATTGGGTCAATGTTTACTCTGCCACTCGCTAGAAGTGCCAATGCATCGGGGTAACTGAAATATAAAACTGATAAATCATGAATTTTCAAAAGATCAAAAGATAAATCATGAGTTTTGACTAAAATTTCACAAAGTCCTACTGAAACCCATCGCTGGTTATTTAAATAAAAACTAAAACATAAAGAGGCTTTAACACGTAGTCAAATTAGGGAGTGAGGGTTGCCAAACGTATGGAGGGGAGTGTACTATGTTATTTCTATACTTACTCATTAGCATAACTGAAAGACCCCCTAATATCCACCTGTCTGCTAGCTGCATCCACCAGAGGAATACTGACCATGTTAGGCTCCAAGGCAACCACTACCACCACACCCCCTGACGTAGTAGCCTGTAAAAAACTGAAATGAGTGGTGCATTTTCTGTACAATGATCAGAACCAAATAACGAATATGCATGGAAATGCTCCAGGTTTTATCAAAGGGGTTTAGATTTTGAAAAATAAACATGATACAACTATTATAAAATGCACGGCAAACAAATATGTGAAAAAGTAGAATCTTGTTAAAAAACAGGAAAATAGAAATAATCAAGCAGGATTAAAAAAAGTTAACCATACGTATAATTTACCAGGGCCTTGCTTACCCATACTGCCAATTGGTAACTTGGCTCTACTCCACTACACTCTATGGCAATATCAGCCTGTTGTCCCATTGCTTCTATAACTTTATCAGCAAGTACTTGACCGGTTTCATCAACCTTGGCGAGTACAGTAAAGTCAGCGCCCATCTCTTTTGCCAACTGTAGCCTTCTTTTAGATATATCTGAAAATCACAATTAAAGGTAAAACTCTTTTTATTCACTTAGAGCACTGACACACTTCCTTCTAACTATGTCAGATTGTTTTTCAGTTTTGATATAATCCTAATATTTCATTAACATACATTCACAACACTGAGGCGGACTTAGAGGTTGGAGGGGGGGGGGGTAACAACCCCTACCATAGAAAATTCACCGTCGCTTTCCACTGGGTCTAGACACCCAGGTACTGAGGTAGGAACAATCGAAACCTTGTGAATCAAGATGAGAAAATTAAAACCAACATTTTCAAAAATTAATGCCAGGAAATGGTGCCATCTTTCTCGAAGTTGACCACAAGATCCACCAGTGCTATAATACGTCAGTATTACTATAGCAACATTAAATCAGCGTACCTGTTATACATATTCTAGAAGCCCCCAAAGCCTTAGCTACAGCTATCGTTATCAATCCAATAGAACCTGTAACAGCAAATTAAAATTTGTCATAATTTGGGTCTAAATATCTTATTATGAACGAAAACCAATGATTAGGCTAATTGTATACCAGCCCGTGGTTGGATGACCATTCCACCTGATGAATATGGACGATGCAATTCTTAAGGGAGGTCTAATGGATTCTACAGAGACATATAGTATCTCAAACACTATATGAGTTCTCTGTTTTTAGGAAAATAACACAAACTAATGATTCCCCATCTCTGGTTGAAATAACTTACCTGCCCCAGTGATAAGAACATTGTCCCCAACAGAGACGCCAGCCCTCTTACATGCTCTCACAGTCACCGCTAGTGGCTCCATCATTGCCCCTTGCTCAAAGCTAACACTGTCAGGCAATCTAGACACCAACAAGCATGCAGTAAGCATTATTATTAGACTCCAATATAAGATACACTTTTAGGACGACCAGGTACTTAAATGACAAGGGAGCGAGGGCAGAAAATGATAAAAATGGGTCCTGACACATTTAAAAAAATTTATGCTCAAAATATTCCATTTGATCAATCAGTAACTTTACATAGAGAACATTTCTCCACTTACTTGTGACAGAAATCGGCCGGATGTCTTGTAAGTTTGGTAAGTCCACCCCAGCAGTAACCTCTTTCAGCACAGAGATTGTAACTTCCTTTTTTACAAAGTTTACATTTCCGACATGGCAACCCTAATTCAACAGCTACTCTGTCTCCTGCGATATGAAGAGGGCGTGTAACTGTAGCAGGCCCGTAGCCAGGGGGAGCTGCCGCTCCCGCCTGGCCAGAAATTCTTTCAAAATCATGCAGTTTTTCACCATTCTGAGCACTATCATATTGTTAATTGTAATCTTTAATTTCCCGTATCCAAGTTACGGAGCAAGATTAATTTAATTGATTAATAAATAAACAAAACAAAAAAATACGGAGCAAGAAACAGTTTTTACATATAAATATCAAATCATAAATACACACAGAATACATGGCAGTATACCATTATTCATCGTCAATGCGATGCACATAACACCAGGAGATATCTGATTTCACAATTTAATCAAAGCATATTACATAAAGTTCCAGGTTCCAGCTACTTCTGTTTACAAAACATGTATAAGATATATAATATGTCAGGTCGGCTATTTCAGGACAGTGTCCTTTACATCCAAATGCTCTAATCGTGACTGTAACACCCATTTTATTAGATTGTTTTTGATGGGAGAGTAGCGCGTGCATTCAGCCTTATCTTTAACAGGAAGACAGAGGTTAGAAACTACTACAGGGTGACACAAAAATGACACCCACCTTACGTTGCATAATTTGTTTGTCTATAAATGTATAGACTTGTCTTTTGGCACATTTAAAGAAGATTAGCGTTACAACATTTGCTCTAAATGTCGTCCATTCCTTTGCAGACACACATGGATTCAACACAAAAAATGCCACCCAGCTAATTTGTAACATAATTTTTTTTGTAAATACTAATGATTTTGGCTTGTACTTTCGGGAAGTCCACCCAGACGATGCCATTCAATTAAATACAAAATAATGTAGTCGTCGTTGCTACAATCTTTATAACTTATTTCCAAAATTGTGTTACATAAGGTGGGTGTGGGTGTCATTTTTGCAAAATGGAGCGTAGTTTAATGTGCGAAAAAAACATTTTTTGTGTCACGCTGTTCAATATAAACGCGTAATAAGTATGCTACCCATTGCATTCGTTCGACTTCACATCTTGAAAAAGAGCTTCGTTTATAACTATAGACTCTGCGCGCAGGGTAATAAGTATGCCGCAAAAATTCCAAGTTGAACATGTAACCGATTATTGTTGAACTTTGACAAGATTATTAAATTATTAAACACGTAAGGTTCTCCAAGATCAACTTGATCACCCAAATCTACAATTGCTTATAATTACCTGGGGCAAGGTCTATCACACCTGGCCCTACAGCCTCTATAGTACCACTTGATTCATGTCCAAGAATTATGGGATCTTCTAACTCCTTTGTCCCTGTACCTCCAAGAGTCCAGAATGCAATATCTGTCCCGCAAATACCACAAGAATGCATCTTGACCAGAACCTCTGTATGCAAAATTATAATAGGATGATAATACTATAAATAAGTGAAATAAGAAAGGTAGTAGAATAAAACCAATGCGACCTACACCTGCGGCCTACAGGGTAACCCGGCAAAATATGATATGCAGTTCGCAGGGATTTAGGAATTTATCCTACTATCAGCACATGAAGATTTTTACGAACGAGTAACTGATGATTCTAATTATGATGTTCTATTAAAAAATGCATCGTATAAGGTCCATGTGCAGTATGGCAAGTGAATTTAGACGGTCATATATTCAATTCACCATGAGTACTTTCTGAGCATAAATGCAGTGGTTTTTATTAAAACAATATGTTTTCTTTCAATTGAAGTCCCCATGATGATAAAAATATCAATTTCTGATTTTTATTGCATGAAAAGATTATTCAACAAGGGGCCTAAAACATCTTTAAAAGTAGAATGGTATTGGAAGTATAGATATCAATTTTCGATGACCAAAATCATGCTGAAAACAATGGATAGCATGAGTTTTCCCTATCGGAAAATAACATGGGAAATGTGGTTTTTAACTTTATTGCATTTCAATACACATCCCCTTACTACAATAAATAGTAGGTCTACCGTGGGAACTGGGCTCACATGGTGTTGCTCTTAAAAAGAAATGGCGGCCATTTTGAAAGAAACTTGAAGACATTGTTTATAATCTAGAAATAAAGGCACCTGCATAATTTCAAGCAAACTGAAATATATTAATTGATCGAGAAAAACAAGATCCCTTTTTTAGAAAATTAGCCTTGCATTTTAAAAACAATGACAAGGTGGGGTCCTAATCCATAATTTTTCAGAGAATAGGATTGATATTTTACTATCATGGGGACTTCGCTTGAAAGAAAACATATTGTTTTAATAAAAACCACTGTATTTATACCCAGAAAGTACTTATGGTGAAAGATACGACTGTCTAAAATCAATTGCCATACTGCACATGGACCTTTGCTGTGATATGATTATCATAGCTATAAGTTAATGATTATGTAATTCTAACACCAAAGATAATCATTATTACTAAAATTAGTTTTGAAATACTTGTAATGCTTATTTTTTCTTAAAACAGCTTTGATTGTTGACAAAAAACATTTATTGGATTTTTGGGGCGAAACATGTATGAACGACTTCACTACAATAAATAGTACCGTGGGAACTGGGCTCACAAACATGGTGTTGCTCTAAAAAGAAATGGCGGCCATTTTGAAAGAAATTTGTAGACATTGTTCATTCATTCTAGAACATGAGAAATAAATGTACAGTGAGAATGTGGAACAATGTTGACAAAATTAATATTGTCCATGTTGAAACTCAAGAGGCTATATGCCATAGGATAGCACAATCAATTAAGACCCCTCTGGACTTTTTTGCATATTGAGTTTCACCACATATATACCCATCTACTTACCAAAGAAGAAGTCCCAAATCCCCCTCTTTCAGTGTTAATTTTGCGATTGTGCTGGCCGATCTAATTATTTTCGAAGAAATTAATTCAATCTGAAGTTTGAATATTCCGGGAAAGTCCTCCTGTTATCTGATTGGTCGTTGCATTTGTTTATCATAAACCTGATTGGCTCCCTGGTTCAAGGCGCTTGTGGGCGCTTGTGTGACTCAATGGGGATTCCCCTCGATAGCCGAGGAACCGATTGTGTTTAATTCTGGAGTTTGGTTGTTCTGTTGATTATTTCCGATATTTCGGCAATAATATACCGAAAAGTTATTCTCAAGATATATCCGTGATATGTGAGATATTATATGAGCAATAACAATACGACATTATTGATTGTCTGGGGGAGAAACCTAAGGCATAATGCATCTAGAATTGATAGATAATATATGGGATTCTCAAATATAATTCATCCATGAACCTGAAATCAATTTTTAGCCATTGGATTATTTTGGGATCTACCATTTTCTTACCATCTTTCTCTGGCTGTTCCACATTTCTGTTTTCCTAAAATAACAATAAAAGTAAGATGAAAAAAACTGCCCTAAATTATATGAATTTTACATTGAATGAAATACGAACATATAATGTCATAATTAAGAAATAAACCATTCTACAATGCTGGTTGAAGATTTGCTTCCAAAATACATACATGTATCATCATTCTACTGTGTTATGATACATGCCTGCCTAAATGTGTAGGCTAAATAAATCTGGTTCATCAGAGACATATAAAACAGTCCCTTACTTTTTTGTAAATATTTGGAAAGTGTTTCCAGAACTGGGGAAAGGGCGTAACCCCCAGGGTCTTTAAGGAGATGTACACTCCCCTCCAAAAGTTTGGCAATCTTAGCTCCCCCTCACGTTTCTTAGCCGTACATCTGTACAAAAGGTAAGACAAATCAATTTTCTATATAAAAATATTTTGTTGAATCTTTGCTGGATAGATATTCTGAAATCAGATTTGCCCCGAACCCACCATTCCCCATGGTTTACATATATGTATGAATGACGATTTTCAAAAATTCCTCAAATTTATCATCAATTTTCGGTTAGTCTCAGATGATTGAAGAAAAAAATAGAAAATTTGGAGGCATTGTAAATGAAGTCAAGTTACATTTCTTTCAATATTATAAGTAATTCCCCTGGCAGGTTATGTAAATAAAAATTCAAACATAAAGGGACTTTAACACGTAGTTCAATGAGGGAGCTAAGGTTGCCAAACCTTTGGATGGGAGTAAGTTCTTACAGCGGGTGTCCAGTCATAATACTGTATGGTCTCAAAATGTGGAATAAGCGTTACAATGGAGATCCTAGGATTTCTTCATCCTAGGGATATCATACATATATGGCTTATCTTTTCCAGTAACAATACTGAATAGGCCCAGGGAAAAGCATTAGTGAGCTGAATCTAAAAAATGGCTATGCTATAGCTGACACGCCCTCCGTCTTTGTAAACAAACGTTGTATTCAACTTTTAACACGATAAAAAAGATTGACAACTTACTAAACGAAGATCATTCTTTGCATAAAGGACCGCTGAAACGCTCTGCATGGCCGATTTCTGAATTGCCTCGTCTGAATATGGAAATTATGATGTTGAACTGAATACAAATAGATTTCTTGTAAATTTTACAGTTTTCTAACGAGGTACAGCCTCTGTCCTTTTCAATATGGAACCCGGAAGCGACCAAATGTTTTCACCACACGAAAATTTGATAAAAAGCCTAGAAAACATTCTTCTGAATGATGAATTCAATGTTCTAGGCAAAGAATATGTCTTATATTGTATGCAGAAAGAAATTTCATTCGACAAAAATGGCAACGAATCACCCGAATCTGAGAAAGAAGATGTGAATTTTTCGAAGTTCAAAAATAGGCAGAAATCAAGAAGTAAATTAAAAACCTGTATTCACTACACCTCATATGGGGCTTTTGTGGCCATTATATCATTGATATGTATTGTATCTATGTATGGAGTTGAGTGGATGCGGAATGATATGTTTGACGTATCTTACTTCATTCAACGCTATTCTCGAACAACGCTGCTACCACTACAAGGACTCTTGCAAGGTGAGTACATCCTTATAGAGGTACAGCTGGAAAGTAACATTTTGGTAAAAAATTGCTATACCTGCACATGTTATTTTCTGGTACAAAATAAAGTATGAAGGCATGTGTCAATTTCCTTGCTTTTTTCAGGAAAGTATCATTACATTGTCTTCTTTTAAAATATCTGGTAGGCGTTCCATGGGAACTCCAGGAAATTCTGATATTTCACACTTTCTTTTTTCCCAAATTTTCTTTCAAAGTTTCCAGACAACACAGGAGCTACCATTGACCTGTTTCCAGATATTCTAAAAGAAGACAGTGTAATGATACTTTCCTAAATGTTACTTTCCAGCATCCATTATGTTACATTAATGATTATTATATACCTCATATGTATTCTAGATGCTCATTGGCTTATTCATGGACACATGATATGAAATAGATAAACTAATTCCCTGGAAAGTCCTAAATCCCTGGTATCAGGGAAGATGAAATGTACTAATCACTTACTCATTTTGAGAGCCATGTTAGATTTTGAAACTTATGGCTCTCGAACAGGGACATGGACAGCTGAACAATAGTGACCTCTGAAACACGAATTGAGTCGTTCAGCCTCAATCAGCGCCTTACTTTTGTTCTCTAACTACTGTATGTCATACATTATTATCATCCTTCCGTGCAAGTATTGGAGCGCTGAAGTACTTCCTTTTCGATCAAGACTTGTTTTGTTAGTCGAGTGAGTGTTTTTTTCTGCCAGATTCCAATATGGCGTTTTCTGCTCGGACATTTTCGTAAATCTCCGGAGGTTGTCCGAACCTAACTCATTCTCAAAATTCATTTCGTTCGTTGCGTATCTCGCTATAGCAAACCGACATATTGGAAATGGATCGAAAAACATTCACTCGACGAAGAATTTACTAAGTCTTGATCGAAAAAGAAGTATTTCAGCGCCCCAATACTTGCACGGATTGATGATACCGATGGAAGACACAGTTAGAGACCAAAAGTAAGCCACTGATCGACGCTGATCGACTCAATTCGTGTTTCAAGGGTCACTATTATTCAGCTGCCCAAGTGCACCGTGGGAAAGCTATTATATCAAAATCCACATAGCTTTCGCAGTAAGTAACTCATCACCAGTTAGGTCATGTGACCAGTCATTAGTATGTTTTATCTTCCCTGATAGGCGAGATTATAGGAGTTGAAAGGCAAAATGCCTTTAAATGCCAATAAGAACCTGTAAACATTAAATGTTGAAGTGTTTTGTTTTTGTTTACTATATGGGGTATATAATAAAACAAATGTGCATGACCAGGATCACAATGGCCATGGTCAGAATGACCGACCCTAAACATGACAAAATAACTTTTTCAGCCCTCTGAAAATTTGACTGAAAAATAGCTAAAAGTAGGAGCTTTGGAAAGGTCACTGAACAGAATCTTTTGAATTTTTCAGAAAATGTGCCCAACATATTGCTCTAAATGATGCAATCTTTGAAATTTAGACATCATTTGTAGAAAAAGAAAGAAATGAAAAAAAATGAATTGAAAAGCAATCTATTTTCCTTTTTATGACTGTCATTTTTGTTTCAGACAATTTTCTAAAATTTCAAAGATTGTATCATTGAGAGCAATATCTTGTGCACATTTTCTGAAAAATTCAAAAGATTCTGTTCAGTGACCTTTCCTAAGCTACTTTTGCCTGTAGCTATTTTTCAGTCCCATTTCCAGATGGTTGAAAAAGTTATTTCATCTAATAATCAGTTATTTAGGTTCTAATTCCTTGGCCTTTTTTATTCTTAATAACCATAACAGTAAGAAATAAATTCAATAACATTGTCTAACAAATGTAATTATTACATTGCTGATAAAACATCTATCAAAAGTCATATGATACCCTCTAAAACTGTTAATGTAAAATAGTCCAATATTAATTTCCAGAATTCTATGATACAGACTGCTTGATACACAACCCATATTATAGCAACTATGATGATTCCTTTGAGTGTGATATCTGCACCAACTTAACAAGAGTGGAAGATTACACTGGTTTTATCAATTCAAGCAACTTTGAAGAGGAAATGGAGGAAAATGGACAAATATTTATTTTGAAGGTAAATTTTACTTGGAGTGTTTGTCTCATTTTTGTTGTAAGTTTACCTTGGGAGCATGTCTTTCTGCCTGTCAATACATGAAGACATGAAGACAAATATTAAAGTGCTCCATGAACCAGAGTATTGTAAAAGCATAAGTTATAAACTACGGCAACCAGGATGATAGCCTGGCAGTTGCTTTTTTTTTTTTTATAGTATAAACTTTATTGAGGTAAAGTCAATACATTTTCGGCCACCAATCGCCATATTGGCATTATAGGTTGGCCATAGTTGCTCATGGTCGTTTTGATGTGAAGTGTTTCTCAAAATGTAGAAAGCGACCTTAAGATTGTTGAGATGTTGAGATATTATGTTATGAATTCATTCACTCGTAATCAGGCAGGGGCACTGGCCGTTATTTGTTCATATTTCTTGGGAGGGGGGGGGGTATCTGATCCATGCTCAATTATTACAAAAGGATAATTACAAAGCTTGATGTAACTACAGCAACATTATGGATTAATTCTTTTCCTCTTCTTCCAGGAACAGTTTCCGTTTCGTGTTGAGTTTGAAGATCTGAAGAAAACGTTTACAGATAATCAGAAAATGTTGACATTAGACCCGCATCAGTTTATCACAAATCGCAAGATCAAAGGTCTGGAACATCTGTTTGAAGAATGTTCATCAGATAGCTTAGAGAATACTCACAAGGATCTGAATGTTGCTTGGTAAGTTATAAAGGTAAAAATTGCTAGGCTTTTAGACAGGGGCAATCCAATAAGGTTTAGCGAGTAAATTGTTACTGAAGCTTATATATTGATCTGGTAAAGTCAAGCTGATCCACTGATATGAAATGATAACACTATTAATCCCTTAAAATAATTTACAATACTGTTTTGAATTGAGTGTCACAATTCATTTTGTAAAAATGAGAATTATATAAAAGTATTAATTGCATTATCGCGATTGGTACTCAAACAAAATGAGTATACAGAGGTGATTAACGATTTCTGCAAGAAAGTTTAACAAATCTACAAGATTCATTTTTCTTGAGAAAGTTAGCAAATAAATGTGAAGAGGGGCATATAAATCATGCAGTAGACGTCTACATAACCTGTGATAAATGCTAATACATATCATCAAAAAATGAATGTCATTGCTATTTTTTATTGCACCCTTTGGTGCTATATTGGTTGGGCGTCTCAATGAATCTTGTTTATGGTTTCCAGCCAAACCATTTGAGGGATCCATCGGAAATTTTCAGGGATGTTTCTACCTACATAAGTTTAGAACTGATTAGTTTTGGGCATTCTAAGTAAATGTTAAGGCGGCCATTTTGGATTTTTTGTCATTAAATTCTGTCAATCAAGACTTTTGACTACAGGTTTCCAGCCAAACCGTTTAAGTGATTCTTCTAAAATTTTCAGGGATGTTTCTACGGAAGTTTACAAATGATTATTAGTTTTAGGGCATGCTGGGTATTATTAAGGTGGCCATTTTGGATTTTCCATCCAAAAATCTTGTCGGTTTCAAGCCTAAGCGTTTGAGGGACTCATTTGAAACTTTTAGGGATGTTAATGGGTACGAAACTGAAAACTGACCTAAAATCTTGTCTGTTGAGGCTTGTCTACAGGTTTCCAACCAAACTGTTTCAGGGATTCGTCTGAAATTTTCAATGATGTTTGTATGTATGAAAGTTTACAGCTTAAAAGTTTTGGGGCATGCTAGGTAAAAATGTGCAAACATTTGACACATACAATAAGACCTGTCCAAAGTAGAAACATCTAAGACTGGCCAAAAATGATGAGATTGAGCCGTGTTTACAGATCAAGATTATGATAACATAAAAGTTATTGAAATATAAGGAAAGAACATGAAAGAGGTGTTCACATTTCAAAATGGGTTTAGCTGCATTATACATTGTATGTTCGAAATGTTTTTCAGGATAACGAGGAAGGTTAAATCTGCTCAAATTATACGTAGAATATTCACGCGGCCTGATTTTGTGCCGAAACATTCCGAAGTTGGACTGCAGAAAAACATCTTCATAGATGGACCAGAATCTGGAGGTTATCCACTGGTAAGTCAGACTAAGGGGAACTAAAAAGCAGTAACTCCCCAGGGATCCATTTTGAACAGTCATAATTTACAATTTGGTTGCAAGTCATTGCTTGTCAAAAAGTAATCAATGGTTTTCTCGGATTCTTAAGTTACAAACAACTAAAAAACGAAACCCAGATAGTGAATCCCAACCAAATATATTTTGTCAAATCAATTAGTTCCAGTTTATTATGTCACCACCAAAAAGTGGTGACATATTGTCATGGTCTCCTTTTTTACGGCAGTTGGTGGTTGGCAGTTGGCATCTGTAACAAATTCTTACAACATCCAATAACTTAACAAATGCTGCTTAGTCTGACTTAAATTTGTTTCAAAATCACCTACAAGTTTTCAGAAGTTAAAATCTGTCTTTATATTTAAGATTTGACCTTCAATGACATTTTCAAGGTCAAAAAAGGTTAACAAAGGTCCAAAAGATCTTTTTTTCAACTTGCTTCCAATTGACCATTTTTTTTAAAATCATCTAGAAGTTATCAGAATTTCAAATCTGACTTTTGATTTGAGATTTGACCTTCAAGGTAAAAAAAGGTCAAAAAGGTATTTTTTCAACTTGCTTCAAATTGACCAATTTTTTTTCAAAGTCATCTACAATTTCTCAAGTTCAAACTGACTTTAGATTTGACTTTCAATGACATTCTCAAGGTCAAAAATACTTATACTTATAATACACAGCATCAATTTTGATATGGCTTTGTTTCATTAAAGCATAAATTATTTACTGTTGCGACACCTTGAACACCTTGAGTCGTATATCCTTAATGCATTAGTATGATATACAATTTGAACCAAATCCGATGAAAAATATAAACTTTTTAAAACATAAACTTTAATTGACATTGGTTTTTGCAGTAGGAGACAATACAACTGTCTGGTTATTTCTATGATTTAACATTACATGTTTAGTGTTCAAAATGACAAGTGATTTGATTAAATATCATGTTTGTTCTTTGGGATTTTTTACTCTGGAGAGCTGCTCTTTTTCCTCTTTTTAAAGAAAGATCTACATATTACCATGTCTTAAGTTTTCTATTTATTTTTAGTCCTTTCCATCATTGAGTTTTTCCTCCATCTTTTTCTGCACAATCACCATTCCAAGAAAGCTTTGTGAAATACCATGAACTCATTGGATTAACATGGCTTGCAGTTAATTGTTATGACTGATATTTACAGCTGTAGTTCATTATTCCAGCCAGTGGGAGACTTTGCGTGTAACTGGTATGTGCAGGCACACGGGTCCCGTGTTCTGGTGTTTGAACCCTCCAGAGAATGTATGGGTAGTTGTGTGCAGATGAGCGTTACAGTGAATGAACGTGATATAGGTAAGGTTTCTAGACATTAATCAAATGTTTAGAAGTGGTGACATATAGTGATAGTCTCCTTTTTAATGGATGGTATTTGGCAGTTGGTGTTTAGCATTCGGTGATTGGTGTCTGTAACAAATGGCAGGTGGTGACATTATGCATACTTAATGCATTGTTTCTTCTTGGTCGAGACATATTGTTGAGGCCACTGTTTTTAGTAGTATTGACATCAGTAACAACTGTTACATTTTTTGTTAACTTAACCTCATGATGCACTTTGTTGTAACATTACTATTGAAAATAACAGCATTTTCCTCTCTGTTTCCCATTGTAATTGGCACATGCTTGCATTAGTTCCCATGAAAAGTGATGACATGTACATTTATACATATATTATGTTGTTTTTCAGTGTACTGGATGGATTCAGTGTATGATGCCCGAAGTGAAGCCACGTCAGATAGCAGCTCCTACAGCATAAGCTTTACATCAAGTTTTATTTAACAATTGACTCAATGGATGGATACCAATATTACAGCATCAATGTACCTGTTTAAAAATATAATAAAATTCATCTGTGACTTTTTTGTGGATATCTCACCACTGTTGGGAAAATGATCATGTGGTGAATGGATAGAAATATTTGGTTCATTTAACAAAAACTTCAATGAATATCTGAATTAGGCTATATCAACTGTCATTGTAAATCTAAAAATTCTCCAGTGTTCAGAGGAATTGATAATTGATTATTATTCATATGAAATTGTAGTTAACAAGAAATCAAGAGAAATGAGTATGAGACAACATAACATTGAGAGGTGGACCTTTAATTTTATGGTAATCTAATCATGTTACATTCAGCAGAGAGGGAAAGTTGTTCATATTTAAACAATTGCATCAGTTATTGTGCTGTTATATTCGGACTGCGTGCCCATATAAGGAAAATACTTTACTCAGTTATTGTGCTATAATGTATTTATTTAACTATTTATGCAAGCGAAGCGAGCCCAAAAAGGGGGTATGGGGGTTCACACCTGGAAATTTTTAAAAATTTACATTGTGGAAATCTCATTGTTTATTATGGTGCATTCTTAAAGATTTCAAACTATAATTTGTTAATGTTTTTTCAACAAATTGTACAAATTTGCTTTGTTCATATTTTGTGGGGGGATTGCACCCATCGCACTCCCCTGGCTACGCCCATAGCATTACAGTACAATTGCCTGAGTATAATGTAGCCTTACTGTTAACATTCCATTAAAATTAAATTACCGGATTTTCTCGCATATACGCCCCCCTAAATTTAGGCCCATGGGCCAGAAATCGAATGTAGTACGCTTATACGCCCATGGGCCTATAAAAAATGACTATTTATTGATTATTTCAATAAATTCAAGAGTATTTTATCACTGGCAGATCGTTCTGTCGTTACTTTGTTTCAACATTAAGTTCAAAGCTGTGCCGTAAGTGGCAGTGGTGGATCGTTCTGTTGTTACTTTGTTTCAACATTAAGTCCAAGGTTGTAGGTGACATTTCCTTTATAAATCTTACAAAACATGCAGTAGGACTACAACAGTAGGTACGGTAGTTCATCGTATTCATCAGCTCTTCTCACCTTTACGCCCACTGGGCCAAAAATCGAAAGTAGTACACTTATACGCCCATGGGCGAAAAATAAGAGGTAAAATAACAGACGAAATTACCCCTTCTTTCAGTTATACGCCCAGGGCTTATATGCGAGAAAATCCGGTATATAGCAAGTACATGTACTGTAGTACTAATAAGATACATGTAGTTAGTTAAGGTGTCCAAATGTGAACTGTGGAAGAACAAAACTGTGGAAGAACAAAACTGATTTCTTTAGGTGAATGGCTTCAAAGCGTAACAAAATTAAGTTCTCGTCCCACAATTTCTGACTTTTGGACACTATTCTCTCATTAGGGGTAGTTTGTATGATATGTTATTGAGGGGTTGTTGGTAAGAAGACTAAACTATACTAGACTAAACTATATGATAACACTGCATAATATATTTATTCTCCGAATCTCAACTGTAAGGCATTAATATGCAAAATGTCACCACCTGCCATTTGTTACAGATGCCACAGACATACAAGTACATATTAATTAATCTGTTGCATTGTATAAATTAATCTTAGAGTATATTTCACTTAACAATAACAAAACATATCTCAATAGTATAAATGTAATTTTTAATATAAATAAATAGTACACGGTGGGCTATTTAGGCCATATTACTACTGCCCATTAAGAGTTAATGTTTCCAAACCATTGCATTAACGAGAGATAGTTCTTGCTTCAAAAGATTTTTGCATTTCACTGCTTGCAAGGTCGACGATTTAAAATCTTAATTTCGTAGAAGAAGAAAGGAATAACAAACTTTTAGTACTACAAGTACTACTTATTTTTACATGGCAAAATGTAAAATCTTTAAAAGTGAGAGCCGTCTATTTAACAATTATAACATTTTCAAAGTCAAAACTTCTCCTAATACATGTAATAGTACTAAAGGAATTGGACAAAATTTTAATAACTTCCTCCTGTTAAAGCAGCACTTTTTTGTACTGGTAGATTTAATATCACTGAACATAGTATTGCTTGCTGAGCGTCACACAACATTACTGTTTATCATTTATTTGGGATTAAGCAGGGGTCATTTTTTGAATATTTGAAGATTTCTTTATAATAGATAGTAAATAAGTAAAACTGTCATAAACTCTTTGACATTGAGAACATTTTATACAATTTTAACTGAAAAATAATATCAAAATGGACTTCAAAAAAATTCAAGATTTAATATTTTAAAATTTTTATGGACCCCTGGTAAACCCTTCATAAATAATTAAACGGTAATTTTGACAGGTGCTCAACAGGTGAAAACTTATGAAGGAATATATGTTTTAACACTTGAAAGATCTGAAAATTTCCTTGAGCTCTATAAATATCCCGTTGTATGTACATGACATTGTATAAAATTAAAGCAAAACAAAGAAATGGACGGAATACTTGTAATGCATCAAGTCTCTAGTTCCCCATAACTCCTCATTTTCTGAACGTGTTATGGAAAGGGGAAACCAAAGGCTTGATGTAAGAAATTGTTTAACTTTAAGCTTACATCCCATGTACGAGATGTATGTGAGCAACTCTGTATGGCCATCTGTACTGTATAACCTGAGAAGGCCATTTGTACAATCTCTACAGACCATCTGTACAACCTGTATAGGCATGCACAGACCATCTGTACAACCTGTACAGTTCATCTGTACAACCTGTACAGTTCATTTGTGCAACATGCACAGACCATCTGTACAACCTGTACAGAAATTGTTCATGTTGTGCCCATTCTGAATACTTGACATACGAGTGTTCACAATAACTTATGCAAAAGACTAGATTTTTAAAGACAGTTTTATTTAAATCATAGTGTCCTTGTTTCAAGCTGGAACCTATGCTACTGGAATGCTAGTTTAAAACTGGCTTACACCACCACACATATACTTTAATAAATTATAAAAAAAACAGTTGAAAAACTTTTGTATTCTTATTTTGCTCACAGCATTCCTTGTCATATCTGTTTTCTAAAAATCAGATTTTGCTTCATTTATTTAAAGGTTAATTATGCAATATAAAGTCCTAAAAACGACATGTTCCATTTTTCAATTGAAATGAATATTAAAGGAAGCCACCACCGGTATATGACCTTAAATAATATCATGGCTCTGTTTCTTATCTTGGGTTGAACCCAAGTAAACTGGACACGTTTTAAAAAATTTCCAGGCCTACTACAGACAAATGACAGCTCACATATGTAAGATAAATTATTTGTTTATAGGCATTGGCAAATAACTTTTAACAATGAGTATCATCTTTTACTATTAGATCTCTTTTGTCCACCACCCCAACCAACATCATTATTTTTCACTGGCATTCGCCAAGAGTACATTGTATTTCTCTCTTTGATCTTCATAGATGGTGCTGAATTGGTTTTTATAGGTGGCAGGTCAAGGCGACCTCTTGGACTTAGGTCATCTGAATGTCGTCTGCTGCGTGACCTTGACCTTGTGGAGTTGTTATCATCCACTGATTCCAAAGCTAATGGACTGGCCTGAAAAAGAAAAAACTTTAATTGCTAACTTTTAACTTTATTTTATAACTTATTTAAGTAAAACTTGAGTCGATATGAATAGCAAATAAAATAACTCATTGACACAGTCATAGATAACTCCATACACATTTTTGCTTGATTGAAAGATGTCACTTTCTTTAATACACAGGCCTCCTAGACTTCCATCAACGCAAACATCAGTTCTCTGTACAAGTAGTTCGCGAGCACGGATCTCTGATGTTCATTTTGATGGAAGTCTAGGAGGGCTGTTACAGCATTTTTTAATTTCGCATGCAGTTATAGAGAGAATGGAGTGGAATGGCTGGTCACCTAGAATGAGAAAATCCTTAGATTTGTCGTTTTGAACAGTTCATGCAGCAAGATAGCAGCAATGTGAAAAATATTATCTAGAAATTTGTTTCTACAAGTTAAACATGACTTTTAATGACATGACAATATTAGGGGTCGAGCGGATCATACTGCCTTTTTGCTAATGAACATAGCCCATGGCTGAGATTGATACCGAAGAGATACTCAATCGTGTTTGATATTGTTTCACTCTGTGCTTATATGCATTGAACACAGATATTACTTTTACGAACATTTGAAAAATATCATGAATCTAAATATATATCTCCTAGCGCTGTGACATCATCTATACATGGGATAAAAATATCTCTCCCATAATTTTATTGTCAGTCAGTATTAGTAAAATAACAGATTAAAAAAAATATGAAAGCCACACAATAGATATTATTCCATGATGAACCAACAGCCTACCTAGCTATATTTCTGTAGGACTAAGCATTCCAAATATACACTGTAACTTCAATTTCAAATTAGCAGAACATGCCAATTAATTAACACTTCATAGGAATTCATCCTCACTCAATGACAATTTAATCAACTGCTTATGCATGTATAATCTTCATGACATGATCACGTATGTAGACATCAAGAAGTGATGTATTCATTCTTGAGATAAGACAATTATACAGAAACACACAAAAGGAAAATGCCTTCTTAGAGATACTAGTACCTTAGAGATACATTCATAGATATGGTTCATAAAGACAATTCCAAGTTGGAGAAAGAGGCAACAAAACAAGAGACATTTACATAGAGATTTAGAGAGTAAATGGCAATATCTGCAAAAGATACCAGAGTGAGACTATTGTATTATATTACAAGTACATGTTGAGACATTTTACAAAGAGATACACAAGGGAAATTAAGATGCAAAAGACACATTCAGATTGAGACTATTATAGTTACATATTTACATGTTAAGATACCTTACATATTAAGAAACCTACAATATAAATTAAGATGTTCAACAATTCCAGTAATATGATCTTGTGTCTCCAAAATAAAACCAACAGTACATGTATTAAAAGCGATTATTCAACACCCGATCAGGAAATTGGAACATACATCTCGCGCTGCATTCTTGCACTAATAATCTTCACACTGCATACCATCAAAATTTTAACTGTCTCGAGGACAAGAAGATTACAAACTATTTCAAACTTTTTTAAATGTGGATTATCTGTTGGAGGTATTGTGCTTGCCCTGTCGATCATTTTACATGCCGTTTTAGAAATGACGCATACATTGAGTGAACCAAGAACATGTAATATAGTTCTGTTATGTTTGACCACAGCAGCTGGTGTAATGGGATCCACTGTTCTACTAATCTATGTTGAGGTGTATCTTGTGACACGTAAAGTAATGAACCATGACACTTTCTCAAAGAAATGTGCAATTGGATTGCTAGGGGTAACATGGTTGCTATGGATACTACTTGGATTGCTTCTTGGAGTGGCAGTGCCAATACCAGACTCTTTAAAGTTCAGGGACATTGTCTGTCAGTTGAACAATGGTCAAGTTCCAAAGGTATATCTCATGTGTCTTTGTATACTCATCATTGTGCATATTCTTGTTTTGGTTATTCTACAGGTTGCTGTGCTTTTACATATCAAAGCACATGCAAGGAGATTCAAAATAAAGGCTCAAACTAGTAGATTTCTATCATTGGCTAGAACAAACAACAAAATTGCCACAACGTCAAATGTTCCATTTAAATCACTGACTGGTCCAAATGTGGAAGTTACCACAATGGGCCTACCAAATGGAGAGTCTAAAGCACTGGCTGGACAAAATGGGGAAGTTGCCACGAATATGAAAGCTAACTCATTGACCGGGCCAAATGTGGAAGTTACCACATTGGGCCTGTCAAATTTAGAAGCTCGATCACTCACTAGACCAAATGTGGAAGTTACCACAATGGGCTTACCAAATGGAGAGTCTAAATCATTGGCTGAACAAAATGGGGAAGTTACCACGAATGTGGAAGCTAACTCATTGACCGGGCCAAATGTGGTAGTTACCACACTTGGCCTGTCAAATTTAGAAGCTCAATCACTTACTGGACAAAATGAGGAAGTTACCCAAAATGTGGAAGCTAACTCATTGACGAGACCAAATGTGGAAGTTACCAAAATGAGTCTGTCAAATGTAGAAGCTAAGTCACTTGGACTAAATGAGGAAGTTGCGACACTTGGCATGTCAAATGCAGAAGCTAACTCATTGGCGAGACCCAATGTGGATATTAGCACACTGGGAATGTCAAATATAAAAGCTAACTCACTGACTGGACCAAATGTGGAAGTTACCACATTGAGCATGTCAAATATACAAGCTAACTTATTGGCGAGACCAAATGTGGAAGTTACCACAAAGGGTCTGCCAAATGTAGAAACCAACTCATTGACTGGACCAAAGGCGGAAAGTACCACTTTGGGCCTGTCAAATGCAGAAGCTAACTTATTGGCGAGACCCAATGTGGATATTAGCACACTGGGAATGTCAAATATAAAAGCTAACTCACTGACTGGACCAAATGTGGATATTACCACATTGGGCCTGTCAAATGCAGAAGCTAACTTATTGGCTGTATCAAATGTAGAAGTTACCACAAAGGGTCTGCCAAATGTAGAAACCAACTCATTGACTGGACCAAAGGTGGAAAGTACCACATTGGGCCTGTCAAATGCAGAAGGTAACTCACTGGTTCGTAAAAATGTCAAAATTAACTCATTGACTCTGGCTAAGGTGGTAAGCAACCCAAATCAATCAAATATAAGAATCTATAGAAAGTGGATGCTTCGCAAAGCTAAGCTTGTACGTCAGATGAGTGCAATACTTGTCTCATTCTTGATATGTTACATTCCCTTTTTGGTAATTACACTCCTTAATATCACAGATCATATTCAAGACCAGAAAATCAACTTCATAGCAGCAAGTATGGTTCACGTAAATACTATCCTGAACTTTATTGTTTTTGTAACTGTAAATGAGCAGTTCAGAGTGGCTTTAAGAAAAATGTTGCTTTGTAAGAAATGTCTGTGTGTCATTTGTAGTCAATCCTAAGAATATACATGATGAGGGCTTTATTCAAAGTTGTAACAGGAGACTTAAAATCAACAAAAATTTGAAACATCTACATTTCAAAAAAGTGAAATAAAAAGTGTCAAAAATACAAGGAGCAGAGAAGCTATTTGGTGTTACTTACAGGGTGGTCAAAAAATCATTCACACTTTTGACAACATAGCATTTTCTAATGACAGAAATACCACCGTAATGAGAGCACGGGGTCAATGGTTTGTGATGTGCCCAATCCAAACTCTTTGGTGCTGAATCATTAAGTTAATGAATCATGAAGTTAATTGCACATTTAATCTTGTAATGACCTTCAATAAATATAAAATGCACTTTTTGGCTCTCGGGGTTGGACTGTCAGCCATCAGTATCAAAAATGTGATGTAGAGAAGTTGACAGGTGAAAGTTAGATCATGGCTGAACTGAATTGAGGCTGCTAATGAAATTCATCTCCTGTGAACATGGACTGATACATTGAAGTTATGAGAAGAAAATTCATCTTTGATTGGTGCAGCAGTTGACATGACTGTTATCTATCAGAAAGATGTAGCAACATTGCCAGCTCCGATGCTTCACACAAATACCTCCATAATTACTTTCCTGAAGATAGACTCATCTCCTATCGTATGGATCACATATATCCCATACAAAGTTTTTTGGTGGGAGTACATTAAAGGCAGGATCTATGCAAACAATCCCAAATCTATTGATGAGCTAAAGAATATTAAAACAGAGATCAGGAGAAATCCTTTTGACAACATGGACAGGGACATTACATTATTATCTGTGCTCACATTTTGGTGGTATATAATAATCAAACTTACACTACACAAAACTTACATGTCTGTAGGACAGGATATGAAAAAAATTGGGAAATCTTCAAATCATAAGAATCTGTATGCTATGCAATCAAGTGTGAATGATTTTGGACCACTTTGTAGGTTTAAAAATTAAATTCATTCACTATAAGAAGATGTGTACAGGTGTACCGGATGTGAGAAATCGCAGGTCCGTAGCCATGGGGTTTGATATGCTCGAACCCTTCTGCTCAAAAATTCTTTCAAAATCAATTGCAGTGTTTCACCATTTTGTAGATCTTTCCATTGAATGAATGTATAACAAAATTTGTATATTAGATTAATTGACATACTGTATATGGGCAACCATTTTGAATTTGTAAGGTTTAAATAATGTATTGGGAAGACCATATCATATTGTAAGTCTTGTGGAGAAAAAATTCTGACAGCTGACAGAAAGATTGACTGATGAATAGGGCTTAGCTACTGTGGATTATTTCTAATCTTATTGTATTACTGTACTTCTACTTAATTTGACGGCCATTTTAATATGGCGGATTCCCAGGTAATTTTAGTACCATGTAAATTAGTATCATTAGAAACAGCAAATCTGCCAAAATAAGTAGTGCAAAGAACTAGAAGTACAGTATCTGAACTTAGCACATGACACAAGATGACTGATGTTCACTTACAACAAGAGAGACTCTCCCACCAGCGACTAGTTCTGCATCCATTTTGGGAAGGTTGCTTTCACTTGAGAATCTCTTCTTCATTCTATAATAACAATAATTTTAGTTTAGTTTTGTTTATTGTGGATTGTAGTTACCAATATTGCATTTTTATGACGTCAGAAAGTCAATAAAAGATATGTATATGAACTTATATTAGAGCAAACACTCAGCATGTTAAAAAATTGATGCATCCCTGTTATGTTCAAATGAGCCCCTATATCAATTTGCTTGGAAACAATTCACAAGATATTATTATGGCTTTTTATTGCTTGAAATAAACCTCTGAGTTTCAGGATAACCAGAAATGATACTAGTATGAAAAAAGTGAATAAAGCTCTCTTAAAAAATTAGAAGTCAAACTACATGTATTTGCAAAGTGTCACTTCTCATATTCATTGTTCAGGCCCGTAGCCATGGGGGGGGGGGGTTCGCAGGGTCCGGGCGAACCCCCCCCCCCCTGGCCAAAAATTCTTTCAAAATCATGCAGTTTTTCACCATTTTGAGCACTTTTCAAGTGATTTCAGCCATATTTGGGCCAAAATTGTCAAATGTGAACCCCCCTGGAAATTTTTGAAAACTGAACCCCCCTTGGAAAATCCTGGCTACGGGCCTGTTGTTAAATTAAATTTAAAGAGTTCTTACCCCTGGTTGATCTTTGAATCTGACACATCATGACTGCCTACTTGGGTGTGGACCCATTCAAAGACTCTATTGTTCTTATCCAGATCTTTCTCAGACTTTAAAATCTTTCGCTTTCTCTCCTCTTCCTCTTTAGCTAAATGGTAAAGCATATCAATGTTAAGAATATTGTATTGAAGGATCGTAGAAACTACAAGGAATATAAGATCCGATATTGATAGAAATCTATTTTACAGCTGTAAAATGGTATATAAAATGTATAGCTTTAAGAATGAAAAAAGCTATGGAATAAAGTTGAGCTTATCTCCTTAATTAACAAATTTGTACATCAAAATGTGTAAACAACTATTTATTAAAAACTCACTGTTATGCGAGATGTGTTTAAATAGAGAGATGAGTTCAATAATATAGTATATATTTACTGTTGGAAGATAAGCATTTAATACTTTCTGACTAAGAAATGTCATATCCAGGGGCCTTGAATTCCTATGATCTGTGATTTCATCCAAAATTATTTTGTAATAGTAATGATGTATTGTAGAATTAATGTTTTTATTACATAAATTTATGCCTTTAGTTGACAGTATTATACAATTTTTTTATAAAAACATTTTTTGTGGGATTAATTAAACATTGGTGAATTCAAACAATCTTAGCGCAGATAGCGCAAATGCGAGTAGGTAGTTACCAGTTTCACCACCAGGTGGCTCGCTCGGGTCAGATAGCATGGCGGGTATAGAAGAAGTTCTCTTTAACTTAAATTACATCTGTTTTAGTGGTTCAATTTTCATATAGCCCTAATGTATCAAATAGTTATGCAAATTAAAGTATGTCCAGTAAAAGAAAATGTTATATGTCCAAAACAAGAAGATATTTCACTTTTGTGATTTTTTAATATGGGGTCTATGGGGAAAAAAAGTTGATAAACAAACCATATTTTTAGATGTATTTTTACATGTAGATTTCAAATATGACATCACTTTGACTGAATTTTGAATATTTAATGACGTAAATCAAGATCATTTCTACTCGCATCTAGTCTATTCTTATCCCAATCTCAATCCACCAGATACTTACCTGGATCAATAATCCAAGATTAATCCCAAAATATCAAATTTATCCGGATAAATTTTTGGATCATACACATTCAAGGTCCCAGGATAACAAGTATCAAAAGAGTTTTAAATAATACAGCCAATGGAACTTTTAATTCAATATGTTTTTCTCAATTATGTCCACTATACTTTATATTCATCTACTGTATGTTTATGTAATTGAAATGTAAGTAACATAATAATAAATAGATTAAAAAAATAGATTAACAAGAAAATTGTTATTTAATTGCTAACCTGCAAAGTAGTTTAACCTAGAAGGTATCTTCCTGGCTGGTGGTCTAGCTGTTACAACTTGATGCGTTGTCTCTTCCAGCTTTCTAACAAGGGCCAGTCTCTGCTTTGGGTCTGAAATAGAAGCAGTACACATACTATAGCCTTGCTTTTAAGCCCTTGTAATGGGATGCCTATGGAAACCTGTCCGTAACAATGCAGAGAGCTAATCATACTTTCTTCTCTATAAGGTTTCTTTTTTATACTCTTCCATGGAATAAATACTTTAATTTCCTTTGTCTAAGTTACTAACCGAGTTGTCCCAACTTCTTTTTTCGTTGAGAGTTATACTGCAACTTTTTTGCTCTCTTATACATTAGTTCTGCAGTCCTGCCATCTTTAAATCCCCTATAATATTGAGAATACAAGGAAAATTCATCATAGTGCAGCATATTGGCTTTCCAGAAAGCCCATGATTGTAGTATCCCGAAAAATATACTGCACTGGTAATCAAAAATTTATAAGTCATTGATCATTTTACCATATAAATATTTTTATCCCAAGAGAATAAAATTCTGACATACAGCAAAAGACATCATCTGGATTATTATAACAGCCCAAATAATACTGGTACATATTTAAAGAAAAGATTGTGTAAACATAAAGTAATAGCACATTTTGGACTTTGATCATTCCTTCAGTTCATTATACTTTATACTCTTACATACAGTACTTTGTAAATTTACTCCATCTTGGGAATATACACAAACCCTTGTGTCACCCACTCATTGTTTATGTATATTGTATGTGTTTTGTGAAATAAACAAATTGAATTGAATTGAATATACCACATCCAATTACACTATTTATGCCATACCTCTAACAAACAGAACAACTCTTGGTTTATATGATGTAACAAAACAACTATTATCAAGTTATAAGGAAGATAAAACGTGCAACTAAATTTATTGCGTACCAAGTAGCTACTGTACTATAGCAACATTATGGTATGGACTGGATATAATACAATAAATACAGATTAAATATCAGGTAATGTTGATTGCCCATACAGCATGCAACAACAAACTCAATTTTTCAACAATAAACTCAACTTGACTTACACATACACATTTTCACAATGTCAAAAGAAATCATTTATGAGCTAATATGACTGTTTTCAAATACAATTAAATGTGAAATACGTTTATACCATTCTTCAGACATTTTTTCTTCTTTCCTTGAAAGGTGTGAACGATGTGTGTCGGCTCCACTCAGGATTGACGAGGGGGGCCTGGGGGGTTTCTGTTGGGGGTCATATCCTTCTGGGAGTCTGGAACCTGCGTTCCCAAGAATATTGTTTGATGAATGCTTTGGCGTGTTTTCGATTTGCACCTTGAAAACAATCAAATACAGAACAGATGTAATGCCTTACAAAATCTCAGGGCTGCATTGAGAAATGTTTAAAGTTAGAGCTCGCTGAACAATTCAACAATAATGCTCTCTTCAGTTCAGAATTGGACCATACTGACACAAGCTATACACATTTTATAGCATCAAGATTTATTAAGTATAAAACCTGGACTATACTGTACCATACTTAGTACTTAATTTCATGCCTTGTCTTACTTCCTAATAGTATTGTTCAATCTGGACAGTCAATGGGTCATCATGCATTATACATGCAGATGGGTTCTGAACTAATTAAGAATTTACAGTAGATACAAACAAGGAATTAACATGCAAAATGTCACAACTTGCCATTTGTTACAGATGCTGACCACCAAATGCCATTTGTTACAGATGCCAACTGCCAAATATGAACTGCCGAACACCATCCACAAAAAAGTTGGAGATTAAAACAATATGTCAACATTTATGGTGGTGACGTAAAAAGCACTTAGTAAGGCTAGTCCATATACCTGATCTATCTCTTCCCCAGTTGACACAGATATGGGGGAGTCTGCGTTTCTCCATGCTCTTCTCGGGGCACTTGGAGGACGGGGCAAAGGTGGACGGGGCACATGGTGTCCATTAGGAGTATGGCCCCTGTCCCTTGATGGTGAAATCTTCCTTAAAACTGGAGGCCTGAAATCATAATGACTATACAATTGGATGAAGGTAAATAATGTACTGTGGATACCTTCTGATCATAAACTTCCCACCATGTCTTAAATAATTCCATAACAGTGGCAGATAGGAGGAACTTAGAGAGTGAGAAATATTTGAAGTATTCTGTAGCATTCTACAACAGTATGGAGATTATACTTACTTATGTAAGAGTTGTGGTGTTTCAGGTGGCAGCCATTCCTGGTCAAGCTCTGCCTAGAACACAGAGAGAAATAAATATAAAAGTGTATGTATTATTTAATTGGCTATTAAGAACATAGTATCATGCCATAAACTCGTAATGTTGTTCTTCGACTTCAAGTTCTACTATTGGTTGATCATAATCTATCTATAGTTCATTTTTCTCAAATATTGATATTATATGTACTATATCTATTTGCAATCCATTTGCTATGTAAAACAAAGACTTTAAATAAAATGTATGTTCATATTGAGATCACATATAATAATCAAGTTCCTGATTGTGTTGTTTGTAGTATGTCACTTGGAGTTACATTTAAGTAAACTTACCTCATTAAAGTTGAACATATTCATATCAAGGTCCATGTTAAGATCTTCATCATCATCAAGCTTGGCATACATATAGGCTTGCTGGAGTTTCTTTCTTAAACAATAGCCTCTCCAAAGTGCCTGGAATGGTACATGTTATTACAAATTTTGTGAGCATATAGGCTTACTGGAGTCTCCTTACATTAAAGTGTCTACAATGGTTGATTTCTTGCAAATTTTGTGCACATTCATACAATCTGAATTTTTCTTAAATAGTATCTGCTATCCTCAAAAATGTGATAATTGCTTAAAGTTCTGACTGTGAGTCCTGTCTTTCTGTGCCGATAAAACATGGCACAAGTGACTACAAACAGATAAACAAGTGACTAGAAAAATCTCTAATAAAAACTTTTATTTTATTTTTTTAAATATCAATTTAGAATTTTTAACTTAAATGATGAACACAATTTACAAAGATAATAAAAATATCCCAAAATCTGATACCTGAATTTTTACTGCTGACGATTCCAATGTCTTTATATCCACATTGTATGACATAATAATACTTTGTTCCCGAAGTGCTCTGACAGCCAATCGTGTGTAATATCCCCTCCATGCTGACTGAATAATGGTGGCAGCTAACCATAGCTTTGTGTGGTAGTCTATATCCCTTCTTACCACATAACCCCGCCAATGGCTCTGGATTCTAATAGCTGCTAGTTCTTCACTTGATTTACTGCATGAAGAATAGAAATTGAATAAATAGAAATACAGTACATTATGTCACAGTAAAAATTAAACAAGGGATTAAAATGCAAAATCTCAACACCTGCCATATGTTACAGATGCTGAATGCTGACCACCAACAACCAAAAGCCAAACCCAGTCCACATAAAGGTTGGAGGTTGCACCTAATGTCAATTTGAGTTAATTGCAGTTCAAAATAGATGAGACTGTTTTATTAAAAGATGAAATATTTTATTATTTATTCTAGTCTCTAGTGCAAAATTATTACACTTAGCTTTCAAAACTCTCAACTCATTTAATTCCTTAATCATAATAATTATGCAAACGCTTTGAATTGTCTCTTATCTATTTTCATATCTTTGCTAAACCGTTGTCTACAGTAACATTCCCTACCTTCCTACACTGTGATTCTCTTGTTCAATTGGTTCTTTTTCTTGGTTGTTAGAGTCTAGAACATTGTCAAAACTCTTGTTATTGTCTTGAGACTGTCTTGTTATGTCCCCATACTCATGCATGTACCGGTCCTCCTCTGCTAGTGTATGGGACTGAGTGTAAAATGACTGCTGGTGCTGAGCTTTAGTTGGAAGAGTGTTGGGTCTACCTGGGAGACTTCTGCAAAAATATGCATTTAAGTGATAAAGAAATCATGAAAATATCAAAGCTGATTGATAATTTGTAAATCTTGACAGGATTCTCTTAATTTAAATACTGATGCAAAATTGAGGCATGGTTAAATGCTAGAAACTGTCAGGGATTTCTTCACTTCACTTAAAACATTACTAGAAAGCAACATCACTTTTATAAATTACTTGTTCCAATTAGTTATTTTTATTTGAAAACAAAGATAAATACGTTTCTTACTTGATAGAGTTCTCATATGTTTGTACTAGATTTCTGTAACCCTCTATCTGCATATGGCAAACTTTCTCAAAATTACTTCGTAGTCTTTTGTTATTTTCTGTCTTAAATTCGGCAGGTTTTTCTAAACCATTTAAATGTACTAAAGAGGGTAGTTTTGACCTGAAATGAAATGTAGAATATGTAGATATAATTCATTTTACAAGCATATTTGTAGAAGAAACAATATTATCTGAGTCTGACCACTTTATTTTTCAAATTGAACAGGGATACAGCTTTTTCTTGAAAGCTTTTTGTTAAATCAAATGAGGTACTTGTATTTTTGATATTCATAAATTTCTTTTCATATGCTGCGTATGTGAATTTATTAACCTTGCAATTCTATCCATTGTACATTTTTATTAATAAATATAAATCTGGAGTGAAAAGTATAAAAAATAAATGACATCAGTACTTTCATCACTTAAGTAAGAGGCAACAGAGCAAGAAAATTTGTAGGATATATTCAGAGGCTTGTCTTGAGACTTATAGATGGGGTGCTACATGTATTTGAGAGGCTTGAGAAAATGAAGTTCATTCATGGCCCTATTGGAGATTAAGGATTGTGATTGACATCTGAGAATTTATTCATCCAGGTAATAAAATCCTCCATACGACGTATCAGTCCATTGCACAATATGACTTTTGATTTTCCAAATATGATTTACTCTTGGGCCCATTACTTCTACTAATTACTAACCATGTTGTCATGTGATCCAATACGTCATCTATTGTTAAATCTTGAAGGTTATTGCACTCAGCCAATTGTGGCAAGAAATCATCAGTATCTTAATATAGAAGAAACCAAAGATAAAGTAAATTCTTAAAGGTATCATATTCTACAGGAACAGGATTTTCCATCAATTCAAACATCAGAAGAAAATCAATCAAATCAATATACCAGAAGTAATTTTAGATCAACTTAATCCTTACAAGGCTGATACAAAAAAATTTAAATCTATAAAAAAAACTTTTAGACTTTTACTCTAGATCTCCAATAAATTTATGAACCGTAAAAATGCTGGTAAGGAAAAGAAATAAAATCATCTTACTCATGATCATGTTGCTCCCAAGGTCAACAGTCTTCAGCATAATACAGTGACTTAGGTCTCCAAGTGTAGAGAGACTGGAAATATAATGTATTATAGATATTATGAGGTTATATAATGGTTCATTCTGTATATCATGTTTATACTCGAGTGAGTATATAATATATTCACAAGTGAGCGTAGCGAACGAGTGAATATATTATATTCTCACGAGAGTATAAAATGCACGATATACAGAATGAACCATTATATAATCTTATTATGCCACTCTAAGTTCAATTACAGTTGATTCAAACACAATCATAACAATTATAAAAACCATAAAAATATCCCATAGCCAACTCAGTAATGCCGATGTTGATATCGATCCATTTATGACGTCACTTGGATTCTAGCAAATCATATGGGAACCATTTATGACGTCACTTGATTCTAGGAAATCATGTTTAACAAAACATACACCTCGTTCTTCAGTCAATATTCATTAGTTCCCAGAATGCACTTCTACAGTGGTATACGCTGGAGTGTATACGGAGGAGTTGTATACGATGACGATATACCACTCTCCACTGTATATCGTTGTTATAGACCCGTGTTATACAACTGTAATCGGACTTAAAGTGGTATAAAATGCGATACCCCTTTATTCCTGCTAAATACCATTACTATATCACATTATCAAATGGATAAACAGCATTAAAAAATATATTAACGTTGTACACTAAAGAAAATTATGAATTCAATAATCTGAATATCTGTGCATTAGTCTATATGTAGTTTGAATCTTACTTGTTTTGGTTAAGATTGAGTGTGCTGAGCAATGGGAGCCAACTTTCTGAGACACCCTGTATTGTTGAGACATTATTCTCTTGTAGAAGGAGCTCTTGTAATAATACTTGGTTCTTTAAATTCGGGACCTGAAACACAAACAATATTATTTTCTAAGAACATTTGTACTGTTGAAATAATATTCTCTTGTTGACAAAGTTCTTGTGATAACACTTGGTGGACATGAAAAACAAACCACATTATTTTCTGAGACACCCTGTGGTGTATTGTTGAAAAATTATTCTTCAAAATTTGTTTATTTAGATTAGAAACCTGAAATAAAAACATTATTTCTTTCTGAGACACCATGTATTGTTCTGCAGATAGAGTTCTTGTAAAACAGTGGAGGAAATAGACTCGAGAGATCTGAGACACCAATAATGTTAATCATTAGACACTGGAAATTAAATATCAAACATGAACTTGAACATGGATGAGCAAAGACAAATATATAACAGCTAGTCAAGATATAAAATTTGAATGTTGTGTTACTTGAAAACTCGACCCTTACTTGCTGAATGCTATTTCCTTCTGCTCTAAGAGTTTGTAACAAGCAGAGATCTTCTAGTTCATCTATTGCTGCCAGGTGGTTGTGAGATACGTCAAGATGTTGCATTGCGGGTACTTCACTTAGACCCCTTGTATTTATAAGCTGGTTGAAGGATACGTTTAATGTGTGAAGTTGCTTTAAACCCCCTAGACCTCCTAAAATAATACAAAATGAAGCCACTAGTTAGAGATCACAAGAAATGAATAAATACATTTGAAGTTGAAAGTGAACTGCCAGTATTTATTTTTCAAATGAATAACTCATGAAAAATTTTTTAGATTTTACTTAGAGATGCATTGGGTTCTTTAAAGAGAAGTTTGCGATATAAATGTAACTTACCGAGTCTACTTATCTTATTGTGTGCCAAATTGAGGTACTTAATACCACTAGTCTCCTCCAGACCATGTATGGAAGCTAGACTGTTGTTAGACAAGTCAAGATACCACAGGTATTTCAGGTTGTTAAGATCCAAATATTCCACAGAATTTTGCTGAAATTAACATTTGATTTTACATTTTTACATCAACAATAGAAATAATGTTAACAGAGTAGACTGATTTTACATGTATATTAAACAAAAATGCATTATTTGGTGGTCTCACAAGGTGAAAAAAAGCTGATTTCTCAAAAATGAGACAAAATTAGTGGCTGGGGTTCAAAGGTGTAGTTACAGGTTACCAATAAGAACTCCCTAAAAATGGATGAGTATTTGCTCTAAAGAATGCCAGCTTTCATCTATTCAAATCAATGAATGAATTGGAGGACAGACAGAGTATGTTATTTGATCTATATTGCCTTAACATGTGAGCCTATAAAACAGTGTCTGTATGCATATTTTGTGTCAAAAATGATGGGAAATGCATACGTATACAACAATATAAAGTAAACATGTGTAAGTGGAACATCCTTGGAACCATAAAAAAGTGTTCCACTTGCAAGGTGTTCCACTAACAGAGGTTCATTAACATGGGCTCAATAGTCTGCAGGACTTTTAAAAACCTCTTGTTCCACTTGTGGAACCACTTAGCAGTTACTACTGTATGAACATATCTTCAATTCAAAATTAAGACAAACATTCATTAACAAAAAAATTACCTTTAAGTCTAAATACTGCAATTGGTGACAATTTTCAAGGCCTTCAACTGCCACCAGGTAAGAGTTGTTCACAACCAGGTGCTTCAGTCTCAAACATTGACCCAGAGAGCTCAGGCTGGACCCCGGTAGATCATGAAGTTCAACTGTAGTCACCTAAAGTACATGCAAGTCTTAAAATATCTATGCGATAAAATATAAAAATATGTAAAGTACATGCAGGTTTTAAAATATCTGTACGATTAAATATAAAATAAGAAACTAACTTTTTGTGTGTCATATGAATATACTTATGTTTTTTAATAATTATTTCTTTAAGCATTATTTGGTGAATATTCTTCCCATACATCAGAGGTGTTAAAAGTAATACAAAATAAAGGGAAGACACAATGTGGACACATAAAGTACTAAAGCTTATTACCTGTGCCAATGCGGAGACCTTAGCTGCCTTCAATATGCTTTCATGTGGAATGGTCACCTGCACCTTTGATGATGAAGGTCTTCGTGGCTTCCTACTAGTTCTTAGTTTACGTGTCTTGGACAAACTCTGGATTTTACTGAAAAATCAATATACAAATAAGTTTGTTCCATGAATTCAATATGAATTTTTCAGATATTTTTTATTATTATATCACAATCTAGCTAGTGACAGTATGATTGGTCAAAACCGGGTCACATGTCGTGGGATATCTGGCGATATTCAATGGCAATGCTAATCAGATAAGACAACCGTGAGATATCTAGCGATATCCCACGCTCTCGGGAATTTTCAAAGAATTTGTTTTCGTTCAGTGTAAATAATTTAGTTCAGTGTAAGTCAAAATGGCAGACGAACCGAGTAGATTCGTAAAAATATCTGAAGACTTAATGACTTAATAATATTAGGGCTGTTTAGCTAGACAGTGATATAATAAAACAAATATTTCACTCTATTTTCGGTGAATACCTGTAGCACTTTCACAAGGTGATATTCCACTTGCCCTTCGGGCTTCGTGGAATATCACTTGTGAAAGATGTACAGGTATTCACCTCAATAGAGTGAAATATTTGTTCAATATGGATTTTTTCAGATCAGTCCTGAGCATAGCATTTGATCCTGTTTCAAATTAGAAATTAACTACATTATTGTAAGTGATACATGTATGCTTGAATTGGTGCATCTTTAGGTCTTGACTTTTTATGAGATTACATCAACCAAGATCTGCAATGCATTGGGCCAGCCAATATATTGTATACTACTAGTATATAATCACCAAAAGGAAATTTCTCTAAATTACCATACAGGGTGAGCTAGTAGTAAAAATGCTGTATTTTCTACACGGTTTCTTTATCTGTACAGTGTGGGTGATATCATTTTCATTGTTTTACCTCCAAGGTTTACAGGACTCCATCCAAGCAATCCTGCATTTCTCTAACTTTGGAGACAGGGACTCTGCAAGCAATCTGGCCTCTTCTTCTTTCCTAGCTCTATAAAGCACAGAACATGTGTACAAATTACAAAATTATTGATATACCAGGCTTCTACTGCATTGATTAAGAATGTACATGTGGAAACTTGACACCTACCTTTCTTCTTCCAGTAACTGATTCTCAAGTTCTTGTTGTTTTCTTTGTTCCTCTTCTCTTCTCTGTTCTTCTTCTTGTTGCCTTTTCAGTTCTTCTTCTTTTCTGAGCCTCTCTTCTTCCTCAAGCTTTCTTCTCTTTTCCTCTTCTTCTTTAATTCTACGTTGCTTTTCCTCTTCAATTTTCCTTTTCTCCTCTTCTTCTTTTTTGATTTGCTCTTCTTCTCTAGAAAGTCAAATTAAGATGTATAGTAAGAATACAGGGTGTTCCAAAAGTAACAGGACTGGTGCTGGTATATTGTTAAATATGCATCAATCATCTTCAAAATTTTACATATTGTACTTCTATGCATGGTTACTAACACTGCAAAGTTTCGGCAAACATTATGAAACTTGGTTGGAGTTATGGTTGCTATGGTAACATGACATCACAATACCCGGGGCAACATTTCAAACAGAAAGTTACTGAGACTTTAAGCATTTTGTACACCCCATATCAAAGTTAAAATCCAACAACTGGTGGGAATTACATTTGCTAAATACATCATTTGATATTCCTATGTATCCTCTACTTTGAAAAGTAGGCTCCTCTTTGGTCAGTCCAAGAGTAGTACTCCGTATCCATGACTCAAACACATGAGTGAACCCATTTTAGGACATGTCACGCAGGGTCCATTGGACAACTTAGAGACGGTCATTCTCATCTTTAAAGGTCTAACTGCGCTGATTAACATTCCATTCTCAATATAAGTAAAAATTAGATATTGCATGATCAGAAGAATATGGTGCATGGTCTTAGTCCTCAAGACCTAGCTCCTCTATAGCTGCAGTGGTCTTTAATGCTGACTTCCAGGCAGGCACATTATCAAGGTGGATAACTGGCTTCAAATTGGGTCGTTTCAAAAGCTCAACCATGAATTGTGCAGACTGTCATACATAGTGATATTCCAGTAAATTGAATAAATATTATTATTTTGAAATCATACTTGAATCTACAAAGCAACTAATAAAACAAACAAAAATGTTGTTTTGTAGTAGGTGAATTAGACCTTTCTTCAGTAAAACCAAAATGTTAGATATTAAATTTTCATGAAAAGGTTGCCCCGGGTATTGTGATGTCATGTTACTATAGCAACCATAACTCTACCTGCATTTAATAATCTTTTCTGAAACTTTAGAATTTTAGTTGCACTACTTCAAAGTACAATTTGTGAAAATTTGAACACACTCGGTTCAGAATTGACAAAATGCCAACACCAGTCCTGTTACTTTTGGAACACCCTGTACATACATTGTAGAAAAGTGCAAATTTGTACAGGTTATTTAAAAAAGGATCCCAAGGCATGGGCGTAGCCAGGGGGGGTGCGATGGGTGCGATCGCACCCCCCCCCCCATAACCTTTGAAAATATGACCATTGGATAGAGGAAGAACAGAGCTTTTAAATGCTTTTCATTTGAAGCTTCTAGCTCAATTTTGAAGGAAGTTGCATCAATTTTTGTAAAATTCAAAAGAAATCTTAATTTTTTGTGTTGCTTATGCCAAAATCGCACCCCCCTGACCGAAAACTGAAATTTTTTCGGTGATCGCACCCCCCCTGACTGAAAGCTGGCTACGCCCCTGCAAGGGATAGAGAGTTTAAAATCTTGGAGGCAATACTTTCAGAAAGCAAGCCAATATTTCAATGACAATCATAATTTATTATCTGAAAATGAAATTTTGGGAAATTTGATCATATATTAGGAACGGGGAAAGTGAACAGGATTATCAACAAACAACTTCGTAAACTATCATGCGCATGTACATAAACCATCAAATAAGACTTTTGAGTAATATAAATAGGCCCTACATGTAAATATTATATCACACATAAAGTATAATTTAAAAGTATCCTCTATTTATTGTTTCATACAATTGTTACCTTTTTCTTTCCTGTTCAAGTCTTTCTTTTTCCTCTTTCTTTTTTATTTCCTCTTCTTTGTGCTTTCTAATTTCTTCTTCCTTTCTCAGTCTTTCTGATTCCTCTTTCTTTCTCTCTTTCTCTTTCTTTTCAATCTCTTCAAGTTCCTGTTGCTTACGTTTCTCTTCTAATGCTTTCAATCTCTGATCCTCTAGCTCTTGTCTTTCCCTGTAAAAGAAAGGATTCAATAACATATTATATGATATGACTACATTATTTTAAATCATGGACATATAATTTGGTAAGTTTGTGGTAAAAGACTTCAAATTCAAATATATTAAGAATATAGTCTATTTGGCAACTAGAGTTTAAGATTCACCAGTGGTTTTCTGCTGAAGAATTACTGACTCCATCAGTATACATGTAGTTACCTGTAATGATTTGCTTGTTGGTTTGCTTTCATTATTTAAACAAATTTATCTCTTACTTTTCCTCTGCCATGAGTTTCGTCCTTCTCTCATGTTCGGCTCTCTCTTGTTCTATTTCCTTCACTCTTTTCAACTCTTGTTCTCGTCTCCTCTCAGCTTTCTTCTGTTTTATGATTTCTCCATACATCTTCCGATCCCTAGAAGTACATAATATGGGACTGTACATTATTCACAGAATATTTAGACTATAATGTACAAAAAGGAAGCTAGAGTTTTCTTTTCTGATTATTGGTATAAGTGGCCAAAAATGGTTCTTGAAACAAGTTTTAATAAACATCGTTGACATGATGCTATGCTTCAAAACATTGAAAATGGTAGTGGGGGTTGGAAGGTCAATAAAGTGGACTAGTCGCATCATCCGCATCATCAGTACTTCTACCTCCTCAGGTTTCGGGGTGCTCCGAAGTATACCTGATTGGGAATGGAGTTTGCCCCTGCAAAAATGGTTCCTTTAACCATGATATAATATTTAATAATTCTCTTAAAGCAGGTGTAGATTGTGTAAAAAATTTTGATTCTATTGCCAGTTTTTTAATGACACAATTGGCACTTATTTCACTTTTTGTCTTGATAAATCTATTCAGTGTCAGTAGTGTAATAACTACTAAGAGCTCAAAAAGCAAATCCACTTACTTGTTGCCTTTGAAGAATGCCTGGATTCTAGAAGCTGAGTAATTCTTCTTCTTTAATGTTGTTTTTTCTAGTTCAGTTTTCTCTCTAGCCAACTGTTCTTGTTCTTTTACTCGAGCATCTTCTTCTTTTTTCTGTTGGGCCTAGAGTACAAATAAATGTAATGAATCATTTAAGCACAAAACATTTTATTGTTGTGATTTTTGATTTCATGTTCCATACTGTACTTAAAAAAACCATAAATCATTGGCACTTTTTAGGACCTTGGGTTTGAGGCAATATTTTCCTCAAAGGGCTAGAAGAGCTGAAACAAGCATGAAGCTCCAAGACTGAGAATGAGTAAGATGTATTTGTAAAAACAGGTTTCCTTGGTTTTGGGGTATAAAGTGAATGCAAAACCTACATGGCTTCACAATTAACAAAATTTTAAGGTAACTATAAACGTACATAATAGGTACAACTCATTCAGATATACATGTAGTATTTTTTCACACATTTGAGAAGGAATATTTAGTTGATGTGTTATACAGTTATACACTAGCTAGTAACACTTCTTAAAAGTTCAATGAAAAATGTAAACTTACATCGAACTGTTTCTGAATTAATTCATTTTTACTGATTTCCTCCTGCTGTTGTACTTTGAGCTCTTCCTCTTTTTTCTGCCTTTCTTCAGCCATTTCTCTTTCTTGGATTTTCAATAACTCTATTTTCTCTTGACGTCTTTTCATAATTTCTTCTTCTTTTATCTTTAGAGCTTGCATTCTAGTCTCTTCTTCCTGTGATGAAAAAATATGCCATTTCATCTATATTTTGTTAAAGATACAAGCACACATGTTTTCACAATCAATTGTATTAAAGGTACAAGCACCAAGGTTTTTCACAATCAATTGTATTAAAGGTACAAGCACACATGTTTTTCACAATCAATTGTATTAAAGATACAATTACACATGTTTTTCTCAATCAACTGTATTAAAGGTACAAGCACACATGTTTTTCTCAATAAATGGTATTAAAGGTACAAGCACACATGTTTTTCACAATCAATTGTAATAAAGGTACAAGTACACATGTTTTTCACAATCAATTGTAATAAAGGTACAAGTACACATGTTTTTCACAATCAATTGTATTAAAGGTACATTAGCACACATGTTTTTCACAATCAATTGTAATAAAGGTACAAGTACACATGTTTTTCACAATCAATTGTATTAAAGGTACAAGCACACATGTTTTTCTCAATAAATGGTATTAAAGGTACAAGCACACATGTTTTTCACAATCAATTGTATTAAAGATACAAGTACACATGTTTTTCACAATCAATTGTATTAAAGGTACAGATACACATGTTTTTTACAATCAATTGTATTAAAGGTACAAGCACACATGTTTTTCACAATCAATTGTATTAAAGGTACAAGCACACATGTTTTCACAATCAATTGTATTAAAGGTACAAGCACACATGTTTTTTACAATCAATTGTATTAATGGTACAAGCACACGTGTTTTTCACAATCAATTGTATTAAAGGTACAAGCACACATGTTTTTCTCAATAAATGGTATTAAAGGTACAAGCACACATGTTTTTCACAATCAATTGTATTAAAGATACAAGTACACATGTTTTTCACAATCAATTGTATTAAAGGTACAGATACACATGTTTTTTACAATCAATTGTATTAAAGGTACAAGCACACATGTTTTTCACAATCAATTGTATTAAAGGTACAAGCACACATGTTTTCACAATCAATTGTATTAAAGGTACAAGCACACATGTTTTTTACAATCAATTGTATTAATGGTACAAGCACACGTGTTTTTCACAATCAATTGTATTAAAGGTACAAGCACACATATTTTTCACAATCAATTGTATCAATAATGGAGTGATTTCTAAACACCATTTTTGTATGGAGTTGGTTTATAACAGCCTCATTAAAATCCTAACGCAGCATGCAGTTTACCTGTTTCCGCCTGAGTTCTCTCTCTTTATGTTTCTCTTCTAATTCTTTGAGTTGTTCCAGAGCTTTGAGTTCTATTGCACTAGTGCTCTCACCATCTGCATCATCTGAAACCATGTATTTGTTTATTAGTTAACACTGAATAAGTTACTTTGAAATACAAGATTAAAAAAATCTGGAAAACAACAAAATGAAAGACATAGAAATATCAGGCCTTTTCCCTAAAGTAGCTTGCTCTACCCCCTGGTTCTGTTAAAAATAGAAATTTACGCTAATTTCTGATTTAGTTAAGTCAGTTACCAGCTAAATGAAACAGTATTTCACCCTGGCTTACCCTTTAATAAAATATGAAACAAAACACAAAGTGATAAATATCGCACTTTGAAGAGCAAAATTTCAAGTGGATGAATAATTTTCTTAGAATCATAATGACAATATTTATGTGGTGCCCATCTGCATTCCCGCCTAGCAGCGAAAGTTGATAATGTAGCACTTTTTCAGGTATGATAACTAACCTTGTGATGTACATAAAACTTTAAATTATACAGCAATGGTTGTTCATTAAAAAAATTATAAGAATAAATTACCCTGGTTAGTTTCCTTTAATTGAAAAGTATTCAGATGGTCCTACAGTACATGTTGGTACCTGCATGAAAATTACATTAATGTTTTTGTAATATTCATAAAGTTAACAAATTATGATGCATCTGAGTGTCAGTGTTTTGAAAATGATACAATGAACTGTATTTACTTACCATCATCGTCAAGTCTTGGTGTATCAGATACTTTAGTATCTCTCTCAATCTTTACTGCTTCGGTTGTTGGAGAAGCATCAATTTCAAAACCTTTCTTATCATCTTCATCAATTTCATTTAACATCTAAAAATGTCCATAAAATTATGATCAATTAAAAGCTCAGTAGTTTATTAATAATTATTGCAATGCAGAAGTCTAGCAGGTTAACTGAGTTTGAAGTGAGCTATAAAAGGTTTAATAACTGTTTCTCTCATATCAAGTCAGTTTCAGAGTTTATATAGAATGTTAAAAAACTCTCTAAATTAATTGATTTCAACAGAATGCGAATTATTTGTTTACCTATTCAGACTTAGAAACAATGGAAATGGGTAACACATTCTAATAACAAAGAGACTAGATGAGAAATAAATGTATGATTTGCATTGTGCCTGTAGCATCCATGTGTAAACAACAATGTGAGTTAAAAAAGACCAAAGGAACAATTGAAGTCTTAACACTGACCCTTTCTCTGAATGTAAGTGGATCATCATCTCCCTGTTCTTTCGCTAGCTCCTGCAGTAAACCATAAACCTTGCGGGAATCTACATTAGTCAACTCTGGAATTAAATAACAAAGTCATCTTCCTTGAATTTGTCTGTATTATCACAGCATGAGTAAGCAAACTTTTGGTTCTGTTTTTGTATAATTTCTAAACAAAATAAATATCTTATACTGAATTTTTATCTCCCAACATGATTAATAACTTGATATTAATTTTGAATTCATGTCATTGCCAAGTCTGTAAAACCTCTAACTTGAACACCAATCTTGGACAAACTCGTGTGTTATACAAACACTTTTTACTTGCCCAAATTTTATTCCACCCATTACCCCCCCCTCCCATTTGAGATCCATCTGTCTAAAATTAACACCTAAAAATCTGGGCACTTTTTGGTTTGGTCCAAAGAGTGTTCAACTAAGAGGGGTTTATATTGTACTTTTGTCTGCATCTTGAATGATGGTATCACACTCTTCCAGTTGTTGCTCTGCATGAACTGTCTGATGTTGGACGTGATTGATGAATGACATGAATGTCTCAGGCATTTCCTCTTCCTCCTAGAGGTAAATAAAAGAAATATCTCATTTCACATTCACAATTAAATGTTTTCAGGAGCTTGTGTGTTCAATTCCTACCAAGTTGGAGTGACATTTTCATATCAGCCTTTGGCATAGGATTTGATCCTATGTTTCAGATTAACTACATGTAATTAATAATTGTTAGGTAAGTCAAATAGTAAGATTACATAATGATATATACAGGGTGGGCCAAAAAAAACGCCACTTTTTTCTCAAAATGCTATAACTTTTTTAATTTTTGATATTAAATCATAATTTGCATACCGAATGAAACTTGAGGTTATCTAGCCATGGATCATAAATTATACAGTTTTACTTGAATAAAATATGTCACCAGCGTCTCACTTAAACATGTGGTTTTCATGAGAAATAAGCATAATTTGCAAAATGTTCCTGAACTGATACAGCCTGATGATCGCCAAGCTAGTAGCCCTGATGCAAACCCCAGTGAGTATAGGGTATGGGAAGGTCTCCAGGAGATTGTATGAAGGCACCCAATCTAGAAAATTGCTCAACTAAAGCTGGGAATTTAGACAGGTTGGAAAAAACTTAGCTAACATTTCATTGATACTGCAATATCAGCAAGGCGACTAAATCTAAAATATATCATCAATTAGGGTGGCGGACCAATTGAACTCCCCTTTTAGATCAAATATAATCCAAGTTGAATGACTTGTTACATTATATTATTGCTAAGAACCCTTGGCACTATATAACTGCAAAATTTGAGGTATGTAGGTTGGAAAATAAAAAAGTCGTAGTGTTTTGAAAAAAAGTGGCGTTTTTTTGGCCCACCCTGTATATGTATATATTAATTAGATATGTATCTAACTTACATTATCATTGCTTTCAATTGATTCTTCGTCAACATTTGGCTCATCTTCTCCCACGTCTAACAGATGTGGTGATAGTGCATCCAACTGACGCTGGATTTCCTCTTCAATCCAAGCATCTACATCACTACTCCCAGCTTCCATATTGTGCATGGTCATCTTGGATTATGGAAATCTTCACATGAAACCATGAAGTTCCCCTGCTCTGAAAATGTAAAAGCATAAATCATTTACCAAATGTACATAAACACTTGTCTAAGTCAATCTCTTTTACTTATCTTGATTTCTATTAATTCAAGATCTGATAAGTAAAAAAAATGCTGACTTAGGCAAGGCTAATAAACACTGCACAGTGACATGTATCAATATCATTTTCTTATGTAAAGAACATTTGTTAATAAAAAGTCAAGCTGAATGTGGATGGTTTAGTCTAAAATTCCAATTGCAGCTTTATTCATCTATCTAAGGTTGAGCGAGTGCATTTGTCATTATGACAACACAATACAATTATTTGCTGATTACTACAGCGTGGGTTAGTATGCATAAAAAAGATAAAACAGTGTTAGAGTAGAAGAAAAAGATGAATATTGATCTTTTCTTGTATTGGACAGGTAATATTTTCTTTTACTGGACATATTTTAATTTGCATAACTATAAATATGGGTAATGTGAAAATTGAACAACTAAAACTGATCATGGGCTCTACCACCTGATAGAGCCCATGAACTGATGAATATTCAAGTTAAGGGAATTTTCTAATACCTTGCCAATTGCCATGTTACTTACCCCAAATCAGTCACCTGATGGTGAAAATGGTAACTACTTACTCACATAATGGCAATTGCTCGAGTACTCGAGCAGTCATAGCAGAACCCTAATTTAAGTGGGGTTTGTGTAAAAAAAACGGGTGACAGGGTAACCGGGTACTTAACATTCCTTGCAGGGTTACCAACTTTCAAAGTTGCACATTTGAAGACTACCCTTCAATATTTTTACGTTATCTTCATTTTACCACCTGTAAGAGAATTTCGGAAGTCCTAGGTAGTTATTTACATGAGTTTACACTTACGATGACGTTAGTTGCTTGATTTATTGTCTGAGTGATTGACAGGATATTGATGATTGTTTTCTATGATGGCGATTTCTACTAGAAATCTGGAAGATTTACGTATGTGTAAATTGAAACGTTATTTGCCGTTTTTATCTGTTAATTAGTGTACGATGTGCAATTCAACGTAAGTTGCTTGATTTATAGCCTCACTGATTGACATACTATCAATTCTATTTGTCGTTTTGCCAGTTGATTTATTGATAAATAAATTTTGTTGCTTGTTTGGTTGTTTGCTTGATTTGTTGTGTCACTGGTACGTTGATTAATGTTAGTTGGGCGTTTTGAGGCATAAAATGAAAAAATCAAATTCCTAACACTGGTAGGAAGGTAGGGTACTCGGTCACCCGGTTACCCGGGTACGGTGTTCCATATAAGGGTTCAACTTATATTTCACATATTTCAGTTCTGCATCAGTAATCAATCAACAGTAATGCAACATATTTTAATCTGTGACTGAAAATGATGAATGTATTGAATGTATAAATGCAGATGCTTTTCAGAATAAACCATTGACTAACAATTTGTATTTTCTTCAAAACAATAGGCAGGCCTGTCAACTGTCCCGCAATTTGCGTATTTGTCACGCATTTGCTGAAGAATTTGAAGTCACGCCAGTTATTTTTGCGTGACAGAAAATGTCACGCAAATACACATTTTACCTGGTAATTGTCAAGCAAAAATGTTTCTGTAGAAAAATTTCCAAAAAAGATCGTCTACACAGCAAAAATACGAACGCCGGAAAAAAATGTACGCATTTAGTTCGGTCTTTTCACGCGAATTACGTATATGTCACGCATTCCGTTCGAAATTTTTCGAAAAATTTGAGGTGTTCAAAATTTGGCAAGATGTAATAAAATTTAAACCAAGGTGTTCAAAGTTTGGATCAAGGTGTTCAGATTTGGACCAAGGTGTCCACATTTTGAGGGGAGGTGTTCAACATTTCCAAGTCACTCATGTTAGGTGTTCCCAAGTTGACCGGCCTGAATAGGTGGTAGGTTCTTCTAGACTACAGATACATGTAGGTAGCCTGTAGCAGTGTAGTAATGTGCTAGAGCTCAATGTCTTGCCTAGACTTTACTTCTACAGACGATACAAAAACATCCAAATTGAGATCTATCGGACTGTTTACTTACAGGCTTAGCCTGTGCCTATAAATTTCAATTTCAATTAGGTCTAGCCTAGGCTATTCAACATGTTCAAGAAAATCATAAAATTATAAATGATTTGTTTACACGTTTCTAGGTAGGGGTTTAGCCATATCAGTATCATATATGTTTTGAGTGACCAAATAAAAAATGACCTGATCTTATAAAGAATATAATAATTATACTTACATTCAAATGCCCCAATGCATCATGCCATAATTCGTTGAAAATATTTCAAATTTTAAAATATTTGAAAAAATTTGGTCCGCCATTAAAATTACCCACAATGCACCCGTATTTTTGTTTTGTCTTCCTTTTTTAGCATCATGTGATAGTTTTACGATAAATATAGTTATATTAAGTTAATTGAAGCCATAATCTATCTCAGATGGATTCATTCAATGGCAAAATACAATCATATATTATTGAATTTCTTCTTTGAAAAACGTTCACTTTTATGCCGGAAGTGCTCTTCAAGCTGGGAGGAGGAATTTTAAAATCATGAAAACATTTTTTCGTCGGCACATTATTAGTCAATAATAGGGATATTTGGCTTTCCTATGTCGTATAATTAACCTCCAAGCTTTATTAAAATAATTCTCAAACGCACAAGATGATGCAAATTACAGATTTTCAGAGTAAGTACACAATTTAGCGATGAAGTAATGACCGTATTTTTTAGGCCACGTCATTCGGTCATTTCGTTGAGATTCCTTGGTTTACATTAATTTGTCAGATTGACGCTTCATTCGACCATTCATACTCAGTCAAGTTACTGATAGTGTCACGTCCATGCATTAGAATTTACTATACATCATGTAGAAGATGGGGAGGCAATGTCGTCCATGTAGGTAATTGTCTGACACTCAGGATCCAGGAATCATGCACCCCTTTAGAACCTTGGAAAATACATTTGGTTTACTGTATAAAACAAATAAATTTGAAGGGCGTAAAACAGAAGTACATAATAACATGTTACATTATTTGTGTTGTAGAGATTGGAGTAGGACTGGCAGGATTTGGAGTTGCTTTTATATTCTTGGGAATTCTCTTCCTCTTTGACAAAGGATTACTGGCAATAGGAAATGTGCGTATACGTTTATTGATGACTAAAGATATATTATGGCATAGAGCCTGTTAGAGGCTGTAAAGATTTACAATCCATGAATGCACAATTGTGTACTTTACTAGCCTAAATATGGTTCAAGTTACAAAATGTAGAAATTCAAAATCATTGAAACAAGTTTAAAAAATGTTAATCTATATTTCTCAAATTCTCCCAATTTTATGGTTTAAATCATGAATGCATAATACTCATATATAAAGATCAATAAAAGCAGAATCGAAAGCACTGCGCCAAATCCGGAAAATATGTATTTTTAACAATATTGCAGACTAACATTTTAAAATTTGAATTTCAAATTCTGGTAAAATGCAAATTTTGACAGTTTTCCTAAATGGTTGCTTCCTTTATTTTCAGATTTTGTTCATTTGCGGCCTTGCATTTGTGATAGGATTAGAAAGGACTTTCAGATTTTTCTTTCAACAGCATAAATTAAAAGCCACAGGATTCTTCTTTGGTGGCATCTTAATAGTTTTAATAGGATGGCCACTTATAGGAATGTGCCTAGAAACATATGGATTTGTATTATTATTTAGGTACGTATGTTGGACACTGGACAGTGAACAGATTTCAATATACAGTAAAACCTGTCTAATCTGAATGCTGCTGTAACTGGCCCAAAGTGGTCAGTTTAGCAGGTGTTCACATTTCAAAAAAGTGTTCACATTGAGAGGTGTTCAGATTAGAGAGGTTTACGGATATACAGGTTTCACTGTACACTCCCCTCCATAAGTTTGGCAACCTTAGCTCCCCCATTGAACTACATGTTAAAGCCTCTTTACGTTTGAATTTTTATTTACTTAACCGGCCATGAAATAACTTAATAATACTATTAATGGAAACGTAACTTGACTTTATTTCCAATACCTCCAAATTTTCTCAATTTTTTCCTCAATTACAGTAGGTCGAAAATTGATGATAAATTTGATGAATTTTTGAAAATCGTCATTCCCATGTTATCTAATGGGTTCGGGGCAAATCAGAAATCAAGATATCTTTTCAGTAAGAGATTCAGCAAAAAAATATTTTTATATAGTAAATTGAATTGTCTAACATTTTTGTATGCTAAGTGTTTAGTTTATTTGATGAATACTAAAGTTACAGCGGTTCAAAGTCATTTTTGAAAATAATTTATTCGCCTCCTGTGTTATTTCAATGGGAGAGGTTTTTTTAAAAACAATTTTGAGTTTAAAGCCCTATAACTTTGTTGAACATGAAGAAACATATCAATTTTTTGTTAAATAAAGTTAGCAAATTCAATTGCTTGCCTAACTCATATTTTTTGCAAGGACTTGTATGGATGGATATTCTGTCATATGACTTGCAGCAAACCTACCATTTCCCATTACAGTTGGGTCACAGGCTAGTCAATGAAGCTCCTTGGGAATGTCGATTTTCAAAAATTCATCAAATTTATCATCAATTTTCGACTTATTGTAATTGAGGAAAAAAAGTGAAAAAATTTGGAGGTATTGGAAATATAGTCAAATTACGTTTCCATCAATAGTATAAGTATTTCCATCGCAGGTTAAGTAAATAAAAATACAAAGGTAAAGAGGCTTTAACACGTAGTTCAATGGGGGAGCTAAGGTTGCCAAGCTTATGTAGGGGAGTGTATATATATAACATGATATAAGTGTTTTCTTAGCTACCAATATGTTAAATGTTTATATTAAAGTTAGCTTAGTTATAGTAATGATTGCAAACTTTCATAAAGTATTTCGAAGGACAGCACTAATATTCTGTACTATTTGTGTAATCACAAATGTTGACATCTTGATTTTGATTGTTCTATGAATCTAATAACACATTGCGCTTGGTGATTAGGCTTGCATTAGGCTTCTCTTGAAGAAACCCTATATATGAACCCATGGACTTCGCTATCCATTTAACACTGGAGAAGGTGGGTCTTTGGGGGGGTTTATAGATGCTTGATGCAAGTCTATGGATCATCATAGTATAGTAATCATTACTTTCAATTTCATTACTGAAGTCAGTATATATTAAAGATGGTTTATATTTTAACTGTTATCTTTTCTTCCAGTGGGTTTTTCCCAGTAGCAATCAATTTTCTCAGACGGGTACCTGTCCTTGGCTCATTACTCAATCTCCCTGGGATCAGCTATGTGAGTACATAAAAAACACTTGAGTAATGAGAAACTCCCTGAGTAATGTAAAACACTGAGTACACTGAAATAGCTTGAGAGTACACTGTAGTGACAATGAGTGACTGTAGTTGTGTGAAACCATTGGACTCTATAAAGTTACAAAAATCCTTCGTACAATGTATAATGAAACTCCTTGGGTATAATGAGTACAATGAAACTCCTTGGATACAATGAGTACAATGAAACTCCTTGGATACAATGAGTACAATGAAACTCCTTGGATACAATGAGTACAATGAAACTCCTTGGATACATTGAGTACAATGAAACTCCTTGGATACAATGAGTTCAATGAAACTCCCTGGATATAATGAGTACAATGAAACTCCTTGGATACAATGAGTACAATGAACCTCCTTGGATACAATGAGTACAATGAAAGTCCTTGGATACAATGAGCACAATGAAGCTCCTTGGATACAGTATATCCAAGGAGTACAAGTACAGTGGAACTCTTTAGGTTTTACAGTAAAACTCACGAGTGCTTGTGTAGTTGTAAAACTCCTCAATTCAAGTATATATTTTAAATAAAACAAAACTGAATGCAAATGAATAAACATTTGAGCACATTTCAATCTAATTTGACCAGCCTGAGACCCAACTGTAATTTGATTGAAAAAGTTGATTGAATCATGACAATATTTCTTTTAGTAAAATATGCCAAAATGAATAACACAAAACGTTTCCTAATGAACATTTGCTCAAATGTTTCAATTATTTTATGAGAGGAGCACATTTATCAATTAGGAAAATATGATTAATTTATCATACACGTTATATGTATTATGTTCTTACTTTCAGTTGGTGAATAAAGTAGGGGAACCACAAGGAATGGTATAGGAATTTATCTCATTGACATTTGGTGCAAGTTTTATTTTAAAGATCCCATGGTAGTCACGTCTGGATTGTACATCGTACCAAGATAAGCCATGTTAAAAACACTTGGCTGAACCAAATTAATGAAATTATCCAAATGAAAATTAAATTGCACTCAGTTGAGAGTTGGGAAAATTATGAATATTTTGGAATTATCCATAGTCCAAAATCCTCAAAAGTTACCAGTATGGTATATTGACAAATTCACGTTTTACCAGTTAGAGACTTGAATATCATGTGAGGCTTATATAAGAAACAAATGACATGTACATTTCCATCATGGCTTCATGTGACCACTAGAGGTTGAAAAGGGGCAATTTTTCTAATGGAGGTTACTGTATGACATCTTATTAAAGTGTAATAAACCGTGTACTGTAACCTGGGCTATTTTTGCACTATTTAATTTTGTGAATTTTTTATGATATAGACTTCTTGACAAAATTTCAATTTTGTGAATATCAAAGCAACAGAGCAAAAATTTAATATTCATTTCAAATCTTCCCACGAATTTGACACAAAAGGTGATAGAATCACAACCAAAATGTTGCATAGAAAAAATAAATGTTAAGCTCAATGTACTAAAGGAAGATTCATATAGGCATATTATGTCTAAAATGCCAATTTGCCAAATAAAACAAGTGCAAAATTTAAACTGGTTAAATTACTCGTACTATGTACCTCTATGTTTTTGGACCCTTTTATACTAGATAGAGCCCCACCTTGGAACTTGGGTTTTGGTTTTATATCTTAACTTCAAATGAGGCCACTGGGATCTCTAGCTTGAAATTATGAAAGATGACTGTAATCTGTTTATTTACATAGCTGCTTGTTTTGGTTCATGTTTCTTTTTGATATTGTTACAATTCACAATCATTCACTATACAAGACACAATATATTACAACAAAAATGTGGAAAGCTGTAAAAATAAAAAAGATTTACAGTCTTAAATATTTGAATTGTCACAGTCTGCCTAGACTCCAGATTATTTTTGAAAACAAAATGGGGCCTTGTAAATATCTTACTGATGTAAAACCTCGTTTTACAATGTAAATAGCTTTCTTTCTAGCTGACCAGAATTACTTCAAAATTAATATTCTTTGCTCATATTTTTTAAATAAAACTCCAGTAATTCACATAAATGAATTTCCAAGACTTTGTAATATGAAAATAAATATGAATGTTTCTATTTTTACATAAACTGTTTCAATTTGGTCATTTGATTGCTTATTTTTTAAATTCAAAGTACTCACAAACATTTAAAATTTTACTTTAGTTCTTGGCTGGAATATGTTACGGAGGAAAGCTCTGATGTGTAAATTGTACAAAAATGATGTTCTCTTCGGCAGTAGGCCTATTACAAATCATAAAAAATGAGAAATCGATAAAGATTTTTTTGAAATGTGCCAACATGAAATAAAATGAATGAAAATGAACTCATATAGTTAGGCCTATTTTTTATTGATGCTCAATATTACTCTAGCACTGGGGGATCCAGAGGGGAGATGGCCAAAGATAGGGCCTCAATTAGTGGGCGATTTTGGGCATTACTTGGCCTTTGTGGGCCTTATTTTTTAATTTATGCCAAATTTTAAAAATGTGCCTTTTCCCACATGTCCCAAAACATTTTTAGCTATTATAATTTTGTTTATTGTGCTATAATTTTCAATTTATACATCTGGCCTTGGCTTTATGGATATTAGTGAATTAAGGGTGCTGTTTTATCTTATAAGAGCAATCACTTTATATTTCATTGTATTGCATGGCTTTATTCTCAGAATTGTATTATAGAAAATATAATTATCTTGTCATACTGCATGAAAGATTTATCATTAACAGAAATAAGAAAAATATTTCCATATCAGCTCATTTGATGTGTCGCTAACTTCCCACCTAAGGAGGGATGATTGCGCTGAATGAATCGCTCAGAGTATAGGAGAAATACTAGAATAAAAATCTGTCTATTGTCTTGCAATTTAAAGTAAATAAATAATACCATTTTTGTATAAATGTTTTTCATTAATGTATAAAAGCTAAAGAGTAAAATTATCCATCTTTCAATAATTAAGCCCACAATTATTTATCTATTCAGGCATTAAGTGGATTATTTTGTTGCATCTTAGATGGAGCCCCCAGCATGAGTGCCCCCTATTGGAAAGGAAGTGCACTAACACCATATATACAGAAGAGTGATTTGGCAGTCTGTGCATTCGTAATATAAAGTATACATTTTACTGTAACCTAAATGTAAATACTTATTGTCAAATATACAAATATATGATGCAGAATAAATGCTGCAAAATTATATTGCAAAAATGAATATTTATTTCTTCTTTTCTTTTGGGAAACGATTCATACAAATTTGAGATACCACTGTCAATAGATGACAATACTAATTACAGGCTAAGTGGGGGGCACCTGAAGAGGCTGATTGATGAACTGAATATGCAGTGGGTGGGTGGAAGGGGAATGTGTACTCAGTAAAATTGAGAAACAGGAAGGTCTTTTCTTGATGAATGTCAACGCTTTATTTTTCCATATCTTTTTTATATAAGAATTATGTTTTGTGAGTTTTTTGTCAAGCAGAGCCAAGAGATCATTTTAACTTGATACAGGAATATTAAACAGTTAAAGGTCATTGTGCCCATGTCAATCTGCGCTCCTACTAGGCACGCAGTTTGAAACTGACAAACTGCGCGCATATTTCAAAATAGAAGACGGGGAGGACGCGACTCCCAAAAAGAGCCAAAATACGAAATACAAGGTTAGTCTCGTTCTTAAGATAGTAAGATAGTACTTCGTCTCGTTCCAATACAAAATTTCTCGAACAGAATATATCCTGTGTTGCACTTCAAATCATTCAATAACTCATAGTACAGTACACTAACTTATCAGCAGCACTTGTAACCAAAGCAAGTCCGGTATTCAGTAGGAAAATGAAATGGACAATAAATTTTATTCCAAATAATTACATGCTTGATGAACAAATACTCCAAAGGAATAAAACAACAATGTTTGCAGTACAAGAACTTTGTAGTGGACTCATGATTCAAAACAAAATAATTTCTGCCGGAATATGATTTTATTTTTCCTTTGGTAATATATACGATAATAAACCACCAGTGCTTCGTAGATGCGCAAAATCGGCACTGTTTTAAAAACTATAAAAATGCATATTTTACGATTTTCATTTACTAAATTAATTTTCAATCACACGTATGAAAACCTCATACTTTGGTTATCCAAGATGATGAAAACGTACCCTGCGTGCAGAGTCTAGTTATACTACAGACGAAGCTCTCTTTTAAGAAGTGAAGTCAAACGAATGCAAAGGGTAATGAAAACTTGGGAGGACACACGACCCGGGACTCACGATCGGTCTTCGTCACTGGTGCACAGCATGATGCTCTAATTGGAGTTACATGTACCTGTCCGAAGTGGTAGACAAAACTCGACCATGACCATGATAATACAAACGTTAGTAGTTGTTACGTCTTTATAACAAATGGATGAACTTATATCGGAGGAACTTTGTTTTCATTATTTTCACCAAGAAATGGAGTCGATTTGTACCCAACTCATTTAGAGTATCTTCGGTAATTGTGATAAAAGATTCGCGCTGGCCGGGAATCGAGCCCGGACCGCCAAGATCGAAGTTAAATTTTATCCAAATCATTTCGACTATCTTTGGTATAAAAAGAGTTGCACTGGCCGGGAATCGAACCCGGGCCGCCCGCGTGGCAGGCGAGCATTCTACCACTGAACCACCAGTGCTTCGTAAATATGCAAAATCGGCACTATTTTAGATAGTATAAAAATGCATATTTTACGATTTTCATTTACTAAATTAATTTTCAATCACACGTATGAAAACTTCATACTTTGGTTATCCAAGATGATGAAAACGCGAGAGGACACACGACCCGGGACACACGATCGGTCTTCGTCACTTGTGCACAGCATGATGCTCTAATTGGAGTTACACGTACCTGTCCGAAGTGGTAGACAAAACTCGTCCGATGTAACCCCCGGGGATGTGACCCAAGTAAAATCTGGTCTAATGTTCGAGAGGTTGAGCAGAAGAGTCTACGTATCACTTATCACCTTATCACCTTCAATGGGCAATTTTATAAACTAGATATTTATTTAAAATAAATGTATTGACGACATTATGGTACTTTTATCTTGCTTTATGCTATGGAGTCCCAATCCTTTGAATTTCGCACGTCATTGATCTCCACCTGATTATACCACGGATCCAAAGACCATGATAATTCAAACGTTAGTAGTTGTTACGTCTTTATAACAAATGGATGAACCTATATCGGAGGAACTTTGTTTTCATTATTTTCACCAAGAAATGGAGTAGATTTGTACCCAACTCATTTAGAGTATCTTCGGTAATTGTGATAAAAGATTCGCGCTGGCCGGGCATCGAGCCCGGACCGCCAAGATCGAAGTTGAATTTTATCCAAATCATTTCGACTATCTTTGGTAATAAAAAAGATTGCACTGGCCGGGAATCGAACCCGGGCCGCCCGCGTGGCAGGCGAGCATTCTACCACTGAACCACCAGTGCTTCGTTAATGCTCAAAATCGGCACCGTTTTAAAAACTATAAAAATGCATATTTTACGATTTTCATTTACTAAATTAATTTTCAATTATGGTTATCCAAGATGATGAAAACGCGAGAGGACACACGACCCAGGACACACGATCGGTCTTGGATGAACCTATATCGGAAGAACTTTGTTTTCATTTTTTCACCAAGAAATGGAGTCGATTTGTACCCAACTCATTTAGAGTATCTTCGGTAATTGTGATAAAAGATTCGCGTTGGCCGGGAATCGAGCCCGGACCGCCAAGATCGAAGTTGAATTTTATCCAAATCATTTCGACAATCTTTGGTATAAAAAAGAGTTGCACTGGCCGGGAATCGAACCCGGGCCGCCAGTGCTTCGTAACTACGCAAAATCGGCACTGTTTTAAAAAGTATAAAAATGCATATTTTTTCGATTTTCATTTACTAAATTAATTTTCAATCACACGTATGAAAACTTCATACTTTGGTTATCCAAGATGATGAAAACGCGAGAGGACACACGACCCGGGACACACGATCGGTCTTCGTCACTTGTGCACAGCATGATGCTCTAATTGGAGTTACACGTACCTGTCCGAAGTGCCTGACAAAACTCGACCATGACCATGATAATACAAACGTTAGTAGTTGTTACGTCTTTATAACAAATGGATGAACTTATATCGGAGGAACTTTGTTTTCATTATTTCCACCAAGAAATGGAGTCGATTTGTACCCAACTCATTTAGAGTATCTTCGGTAATTGTGATAAAAGATTCGCGCTGGCCGGGAATCGAGCCTGGACCGCCAAGATCGAAGTTGAATTTTATCCAAATCATTTCGATTATCTTTGGTATAAAAAAGAGTTGCACTGGCCAGGTCGAACACGGGCCGCCC